TGATATTGTAATAACCATGCATAGTGTCAGGTGAGTTCTCAGGGGGAATCATTTCATTAAGGGTATGGTTGTCTAACCACCGTGCCACGCACCTGAAACTAATAGAAAATGGAATGTCAACTGTAACTGACCAATTTTTTAAAATTTAGAAAAGATGGGTGAAAAGGGTGACGGGATTAAGAGGTACAAATTGCCACCCTAGCTGGTGTGATTCAGTGACTAGAGCGTCAACCTTCAGACTGAAGGGTCCTGGGTTCAATCGGTCAAGGGCACATGCCCAGGTTTCAGGCTCGATCCCCAGTAGAGGGTGTACAGGAGGCAGCCGATCAATGATTCTCTCTCATTATTGATGTTTCTATCTCTTTCTCCCTCTCCCTTCCTCTCTGAAATCAATCAAAATGTAGTTTTTTAAAAGAAGTACAAATTGCCAGCTATGAAAGCAGTCATGGGAACGTAAAGTACAGCACAGGGAATGTAGTCAACAATACTGTGATAAAGCCCTAGCTGGTTTGGCTCAGTGGACAGAGTGTCAGCCTGCAGACTGAAGGGTCCCAGGTTTGATTCCACTCAGGGCACATGCCTGGGTTGCCAGTTTGATCCCCTGTAGGGGACATGCAGGAGGCAGCCAATCAATGATTCTCTCTCATCATTGATGTTTCTCTCTCTCTCTCTCCCTCTCCCTTCCTCTCTGAAATCAATAAAGATATATATTTTTTTAAATATATTTTATTGAATTTTTACAGAGAGGAAAGGAGAGGGATTGAGAGTTAGAAACATCGATGAGAGAGAAACATGGATCAGCTGCCTCCCGCACGCTCCCCACTGGGAATGTGCCCGCAACCAAGGTACATGCCCTTGACCGGAATCGAACCTGGGACCCTTGAGTCTGCAGGCCAACACTTTATCCACTGAGCCAAACCGGCTAGGGCTGAAGATATATTTTTTTAAAAAGCACAATACTGCCCTGGCCAGTTTGGCTCGGTGGATAGAGCGTCGGCCTGCGAACTCAAGGGTCCCAGGTTCGATTCCAGTCAAGGGCATGTACCTTGGTTTCGGGCACATCCCCAGTGGGGAGCGTGCGGGAGGCAGCTGATCCATGTTTCTCTCTCATCAATGTTTCTAACTCTCTATCCTTCTACCTTCCTCTCTGTGAAAAATCAATAAAATATATATTTTTTAAAAAAGCACAATACTGTGATAACGGTGGATGGGGCCAGGTGGGGACTAGACTTACCAGGGGGATCACTTTGTAATTTATATAAACACCTGACTGCTATGCTGTCCACCTGACACTAATATAATATGGACTGTCAACTGCAACGGATGAATTTGCCGAGGTCAGTGGAGTCCAATCTCATTATTCGCGGTAGCTGTGTGCAGTAGTTACCAGGATCACCGAAGTCATGAATGCCGGACCGTGGCTTTGATAAGAAACTTGGGATTCAGTTCCTTCTATTAATTATTAATCAGTTAATAAAGACTTGGAAAGGAGGCCTAGCCGGTTTGGCTCAGTGGATAGAGCGTCAGCCTGTGGACCGAAGGGTCCCAGGTTTGATTCTGGTCAAGGGCATGTACCTCAATTGCAGGCTCCTCCCTGGCCCGGACCCTGGTCGGGGCGCGTGCAGAGGCAACCAATCGATGTGTTTCTCTCACATCCATGTTTCTCTCTGTCTTTCCCTCTCTCTTCCACTCTCCCTAAAAATCAATGGAAAAATATCCTCGAGTGAGGATTTTAAAAAAGAAGAATTGGAAAGGAACCTCGAAAACCTACTGGTCAAGGGCACATGCCCAGGTTGCGTGTGTGTGTGTGTGTGTGTGTGTGTGTGTGTGTGTGTGTGTGTCTTACACGCTCTCTCATCTCCCTTTGACGGGGCCTGCTGCTTTGGGCCCCACATCGGGTCAGTAGAATGACACTCTGGGTGGGGGAGACTGGACAGGTGAGCAAAGTCAAGCAGGGAATGACTCTGGAAGCTTCCACAGGGGAAGCCAGCATTTGGACGGACTCCAGGAGTCTGGGGCGCCCTCCACGCCCGCCACTTCCCCAGGCTGCTCGTTGTGGATCTAAGAGGCCAGACGGATGGACAGACAGACGGGCTTCCTTCACACATGCGTAGCACCTATGAGAACAGCAGGGCAGCACCTGTGGGAACAGCCGTGCGCCCACCTTCGCCTCCAGTCCCCGATGCTAAGCTTTCAAACCTGTGCAAAGGGGAAGAGTGTCAAGGCTCAGCCCCAGCCAATGGGAAGGGAGCCTCCGCCAATATATCAGGGCCGGGCAGGGGCCATGAGTGCCTTTTCCTTCTGCTTTCGGAGATGTTTTTAACAGGAAGGAGCCAGGAAGCCTGATTCCCTTCAGGGGTGAGTGGGGTTGGGGGTTTCTTTTGTTTCTTTGTGGGGGTTTTCCCTCTCCTTCCTGACAGTTACACTAAGAGACACTGGAGTTCACCAAGTCCAGTTGGCTCACGTCACCTTGGAAAAGGACCGGCTCTGTCTCATTGATAAAAATCCTTATCAATGAGGCTCAGTGGGTTGAGCGTCGTCCCATGCACCAAGAGGTCATGGGTTCAATTCCTGGCACGTACCTGAGCTGCGGGCTAGATACCTGGTGAGGGGCATGCAGAAGGCAGCCAATCAATGATTCCCTCTCATCATTGATGTTTCTATCTCTCTCTGCCTCTTTCTCTGAAATCAATACAAATATGATTTTTAAAAGATTGAAAAAGTCGAGATAGCTGTAGTCACAGAAGAGAAATAGTGAGGAGAGAAGAGTAGAACAGGAAGCGGCGAGGATATAGAAATGCTGTCTTTGACACCATCTCCCCTATCACATTCTCCTTTTCAGTAAAGAAAATGACATTGCTCCGAAGCGGAAGGGAGGAAGGGAGGAAGGGAGGAAGGGAGGAAGGAAGGAAGGAAGGAAGGAAGGAAGGAAGGAAGGAAGGAAGGAAGGGAGGGAGGGAGGGAGGGAGGGAGGGAGGGAGGGAGGGAGGGAGGGAGGGAAGAAGGAAGGGAGGAAAAATTCTCAGCTCAGCTGCATGGCTTATGGGTTTGGGCACTGGACATGCTTTTAGCTGCTGGCTTGCACCACTCACAGTTTGGGCTGAACTTAACCTACGTAAACTTCCCCCCTTGTAAAATGAAGGGGAGAGGATCAATGTGATAGACGTCTTATGAAAATGTAAGGTTAAATGGACCCGAGGGTGGTCCAGATTCTACACTGACCCCGTCAAAGATGGCAGCTTTTTACCTTTTAAAAATGTTTACCCGTGCCCTGGCCAGCGTGGCTCAGTGGGTTGGAGTGTCATGATCTTAGCAAGTTTCAATTACACACTACAATACTAAACACCATAGCCATGGCGCTGTGCATGCTGCTGCTGGGACTTATTCGTCTTATAACTGAATCTGTGGACCCCGCATAGCATCCCCCAGCCCCTGGCAACCCCCATTCTACTCTCTGGTCTTATGAGTTCACCTTTTTTAGATTCCCCATAGAAGTGAGATTCTACAGTGTTTGTCTTTCTGTTTCTGACTGATTTTACTTAGCAGAACGCCCTCCACGGGTATCCATATTATTGCAAATGGCAGGACTTCCTTCTCTTAAAAAAAAAATTATTGTTGACACCATTACAAATGGCCCTCACTTCCCCACCCTTTTGCCCAACTCCAGCCAGCTCCAGCCCCCACAGCCTCCCTCTGGCCATCATTAACTATACTATTGTCTGTGTCCATGGGCTACACATATGTGTGCTTTGGCTAATCCCTTCACCTTCTTCTATCCAGTTCCCCACCACCATCCCTCTTCCTTCTGACAGCTGTCCGTCTGTTCCACACTTTCATGCCCCTGGTTCTGTTTTATTAGTTAATTTTTTTCAGTAGATTCCACATATAAGTGAGATCACATGGTATTTGTCTTTCTCTGACTGGCTTATTTTGTTTAGCATCATAACCTCCAGGTCCATCCATGCTGTCTCAAAAGGTAAAACATCCTTCTTTTTGCCCTAGCTGGTTTTGCTAGGTGGATAGAGCGTCTGCCTGTGGACTGTAGGGTCCCAGGTTCAATTCCCATCAAGGTCACGTGCCTGGGTTGTGGGCTCCATCCTCAGTAGGAGGTGTGTAGGAGGCAGCCAGTCAATGATTCTCTCTCATCATTGATGTTTCTATCTCTCTCTCCCTCTCCCTTCCTCTCTGAAATCAATAAAAAATATATTTTTAAAGATCCTTCTTTTTCACAGCTGCATAGTATTCCCTGGTGTAAATGTCCCACAGCTTTTTTTCTCTTTTTTTCCCAGAGAGGAAGGAAGAGGGACAGAGAGCCAGAAACATCAATGAGAGAGAAACATCGATCAGCTGCCTCCTGCACACCCCCTACCGGGGATGTGCCCGCAACAAGGTACATGCCCTTGACCGGAATCGAACCTGGGACCCTTCAGTCCACAGGCTGACGCTCTATCCACTGAGCCAAACCGGTTAGGGCACCCCACAGCTTTTTTATCCACTCACCTACTGATGGGCACTTGGGCTGTTTCCAGATCTTGGCTATTGTAAATAACGCTGCTATGCACATAGGAGTGCATACTAGTTCATTCTTTCCGATTGGTGCTTCAGGATTCTTAGGATATATTCCCAGGAGTGGAATCGCTGGGTCGAATGGCAGTTCTATTTTTACCTTTTTGAGGAAACGCCACACTGTTTCCCACAGTGGCTGCGTCCAGGGCACGTAGGGTTCCCCCTTCTCTGCATCCTCGCCCACACTTGCTTGTGGATGTCTTGATGGCATCCATTCATTTCCTCATGATCTCATGTCTCCACAGGTCTCGTCTGCTCTCCCTCTCTCTCTCTTCTGATTGGTTGTTTTTCTTGGTGGTGCCTGAGGTTCTCAGACTTGAGTGAAGATGGATTCTGACTCCTCGTCCTCCTCCTCCTCCTCCACCACTTCCTCCTCGTCTACCTCATCCTTGCCATCCTCGCCCTCCTTCACCTCCCCTTTCAAAAGTGGGGTCATGCGGTACATGCTCTACTTAAGCCAGGAGGATCTGGAGAGGTTCAAGCAGCTCTTAGTGCGGGAGCAGCCCGAAGCGGGCTCCACCCAGATCACCTGGGACCAGGTGAGGACAGCCAGATGGGGCGAGGTGGTCCATCTCTTGACGGAGTACTTCCCTGGTCACCTCGCTTGGGATAAGGCTCATCACATCTTTGCCAGCATGGACAAGACCCAACTGTGCGATCGGACGCGGATGGAACTACAAGGTGAGTAATCCTCTGGGCGGGGGAGCGTAGGGATGGGCTTGGGTGCTGACGAACTAAGTGCTTTACTGGCCACCTGAACACGACGGCAAATAGTGGGGTGAGAGGGTGGCTCTGACCCCAAAAGGCAAAGACTCCCCTATTAGCATATTTAATGAAGAAACCTGCCCTGACTGGTGTGTCTCAGTGAGTGGTTAGAGCAGGGGTGGGCAAACTTTTTGACTCGAGGGCCACAATGGGTTCTTAAACTGGACTCAGAAGAAGGAGCTGCGGCCGTGTTTCCCGACGTTGCCATGTTAACACTGCTGCTGGTGAAGGAGCAGAGGGGAGAGCAAGAGAACCCTCCGCTCTTTCGGCTCCGCGGGCCGGATAGAACAGCCAAACGGGCCGGATCCGGCCTGCGGGCCGTAGTTTGCCCACGGCTGGGTTAGAGTATTGTCCCACTCACTGAAGGATCAAGGGTTCAATTCCTGGTCAAGAGTATAAGGGCATGGCCCTAGCCATTTGGGCTCAGTGGATAGAGCATCGGCCTGTGGACGAAAGAGTCCCAGGTTTGATTTCGGTCAAGGGCACGTACCTTGGTAGCAGGCTCCTCCCCGGCACAGGCCCTGGTCGCGGCTTGTGCAGGAGGCAACCAATCGTTGTGTTTCTCTCACATGGATGTTTCTCTCTGTCTTACCCTCTCTCTTTCACTCTCCCTAAAAATCAATGGGAAAAATATCCCCGGGTGAGGATTAAAAAAGGGATAAAAGAGTATAAGGGCATGTGCCTGGGTAGCAGCTCTGATCCCAGGCCCTAACTGGGGCTGGTGGGGGAGGCAACCAATTGATGCATCCCTCTCACATGGATGTTTCCCTCTCTCTCCCCATCTTCCTCTCTCTCCCCTTTCCTCTCTCCCTTCCACTCTCTCTAAATATCAATGGGGCCCTGACCGGTTTGGCTCAGTGGATAGAGCATCGGCCTGCGGACTGAAAGGTCCCAGGTTCGATTCTGGGCTAGGGCATGTACCTTAGTTGCAGACACATCCCCAGTAGGGTGTGTGCAGGAGGCAGCTGATCAATGTTTCTCTCTCATCAATGTTTCTAACTCTCTCTCCCTCTCCCTTCCTCTGTGTAAAAAAATCAGTAAAGTATATATATATTTAAAAACACATCCATGGGGGTTCCCTAGCCAGTTTGGCTCAGTGGATACAGTGTCGGCCTGTGGACTGAAGGGTTCTGGGTTCGATTCCTGATCAAGGGCCCATGACTGGGTTGTGGGCTCGATCCCCAGTAGGGGCGTGCAGGAGGCAGCCGATCCATGATTCTCTCTCATCATTGATGTTTCTGTCTCTCTTTCCCTCTCCCTTCCTCTTTGAAATCAATAAAAATATATTTTTTAAATGTAAAAATAAATAAATAAATGTACCTCAATGAGATATTTACCAAGAACCAAAATCTACCCAACATTAAAAAAAAAAGAACCAATGACTACCAATATAATTTTATACACATATAAATATCCAGAGATAGGAACATGTCCATAGAAGATAGGCCCCTACACCTGAAGTGTATATATATTTTATATATGCATGCATGTGTGAGGGTCCATATCTGTGTGTATATCTCCCTTAGTGTTGGCTGGGCCATGCGTTTATGTATTTATTTAATACTAGAGGCCCGGTTCACAGATTTGTGTACTGGTGGGGTCCCTCGGCCTGGCCTGTGGGGATCAGGCAGAAACCAGCTCTCAGACATCCCCTGAAGGGTCCCGGATTGGGAGAGGGCAATTCTCGAGTGATGCACCCCGGAATTGGGCTCCCTCTTCTCTGGTTCCCAGTGCATCACCTGAGAACCGCAGCTGCCAAGTCACCACAGCTCAGCAGCTCCTGTGTTGAGTGTCTGCCCCCTGGTGGCCAGTGCATGCCATAGCTACCAGTCAGATGGTCAGACAGTCGCTTAGGCTTTCATATAGAGAGACTAGAGGCCTGGTGCATGAAATTTATGCACTGGAGGGAGGCAGGGTGGTCCCTCAGCCCAGCCTGCACCCTCTTGCAGTATGGGACCCTTTGGGGGATGTCTGCCTGCCAGCTTAGGCCCCTCCCCTGGGCAGGACATCCCTCTCACAGTCCAGTACCCCTTGCTCCTTCCACTCGCCTGCTTGCTGCTCCTTACCACTCTGCTCACTGCTCCTTAGCACTGCTGCGGAGGTGGGAGAGGCTCCCGCCACTGCCACTGCACTTTCCAGCCATGAGCCTGGGTTCTGGCTGAGCAGTGCTCCCCCCATGGGAGCACACTGACCACCAGGGGGCAGCTCCTGCATTGAGCATCTGCCCCCTGGTACTCAGTGTGCATCATAGCGACCAGTTGTTCTGGTCGTTCCGCCGTTGGTCACTTAGACTTTTATTATATAGATGTTTTTATTGATTTTTAGAGAGAGGGAGAGAGAGATCAATGAGAGAAAAACATCAATTGGCTGCCTCCCACATGACCCTACTGGGGATCGAGCCCACAACCAGGAATTGAACTGGCGACCTCTTGGTGCACACGATGACACACAACCATCAGGTCTAAGCGATACACGTACGTGTTCTTGAACACCTTCCGTGGCCCATGAGGAAACAGCACCCTTTTCTCTCTCCCTGACATCCCGATGGAGTCCAGCTAGTGCTCTTCTCCCCGAACGAAGGTGGGAGGTCCTTGAAGGGGTGGCCCCTGCTCTCCAGGGAGGGCCCACATCGCTCCTCATCTCAATGGGGCAGCCTCTTCTCTTGTCCATTGCAGAGCTCCTGCCTCACCTGGAGCCCACGGGCCCACCCCCAAGAAGAGCACTGAGGACCTTGGAGGAGGAGTACCCTGGTATGTGTGGAGGGCGTGGCAAGCGCTGTAGGGAGACGGGCTACGGGTCATTCCTAAGACCAGGGGAGTGGTCGATGAATTTGGTGTCTCCTTTTCTCTCCTTTTTTTTCAACCCTTCTTTTATGGATTTAAGAGAAGATATGCGTTTTTATTAATTTTAGAGAGAAGAGAAAGAGAGAGCCCTAGCCCGTTTGCCTCAGCTGTGGACTTGATCCCCAGTGTGGGGCGTGCAGGAGACAGCTGATTCATGATTCTCTCTCTCTCTCTCTCATCATTGATGTTTCTCTCTCTCTCTCTTTCTCCCTTCCTCCCTGAAATCAATAAAAATATTTTTTAAAAATAATAATAGTCCTAGCCCGTTTGGCTCAGTAGATAGAGTGTCGGCCTGCAGACTGAAGGGTCCAGGGTTCAATTCCAGTCAAGGACACATGTCCGGGGGGTTCAGGCTCAATCCCCAGTAGGGGGTGTGCAGGAGGCAGCTGATCCATGAGTCTCTCATCATTGATGTTTCTATCTCTGTCTTCCTCTCCCTTCCTCTCTGAAATCATATAGAAGATATTTTTTTAAATAAATAATAATAATAAAGTGCCCTGGCTAGTTTGGCTTAGTGGATAGAGCTCCTGCCTGCAGACTGAAGGGTCCCAGGTTCGAGTCCAGTCAAGGTCACATGCCCAAGTTGCAGGCTCGATCCCCAGTGTGGGCTATGCAGGAGGCAGGTCATCAATGATTCTCTCATCAGTGATGTTTCTCTCTCTCTCTCTCTCTCTCTCTCTCTCTCTCTCTCTCTCTCTCTCTCTCTCCCCCCCCCCTTCCTCTCTGAAATCAATAATAATAATAAAGTGACATGTTTTAAAATGAATAAATGCAGGGCTGGGCTTGCTGTCTACCTCCAGGCTGCTCTCCTTGTTGCTGGATTCCTTCTCACGATGATCTCTCTCTCTCTCTCTCTCTCTCTCTCTCTCTCTCTCTCTCTCTCCCTCTCTCTCTCTCTCCCTCCCCCCTTCCCCTAGCCATGGTACAGCACTACCGGAAGCAGGTGCTGGACCACTACTCTGACCTGGTGGACGGCCTGGCGTGGCCCGGGAACCAGGCGGACTTCTTCTACCAGGACATCCTCCGGCACCAGAGGCTCCTGCCCTGTCTGTTCCTCCCCCGCAGGCCACATGGCCGGCCGCCCCGGACAGTGGTCCTGCGGGGTGTGGCCGGGGCAGGGAAAACCACGCTGGCGCACCGGGTGATGCTGGAGTGGGCAGGGTGCACCTTCTACCCGCACAAGGCCTGGTGCGCCTTCTATGTCCACTGCCGCCACGTGGCCCACGACGAAGAGCAGAGTCTGTGCGGCCTGCTGTCCCGCCAGTGGCCCCAGGCAGGGGCGCTGGCCGCCAAGGCCCTGGCCAGGCCAGAACAGCTGCTGCTCATCCTCGATGGCTTCGAGACGCTGGCCTTGCCCCTGGCGCACAGGCACAAGGATCTGAGAGAGGACTGGAGGCGGAAGCTGCCGGTCCCCATCCTCCTGGCCAGCCTGCTGAGTGGGAAGATGCTGCCCCAGGCTTCGCTGCTGCTCCTGCTGAGATTCTCCTCCTGGAGGGTCCTCAAGCCCCTGCTGAGCTGCCCCTCGGTCCTGACCCTCTCGGGGTTCACCGCCCCGGAAAGGACCCGGTATCTCCGGAGGTACTTTGGGGACGGGAGGGCGGCCGACAAGGCCGTGGATTTCCTCCGGGGCAGCGCCATCCCCTCCTCCATGTGCCAGGCGCCCGCCGTGTGCTGGCTGGTCTGCTTGTGCCTCAAGGAGCCGATGGAGAGGGGCGCCGACCTCTTCCTCGCCTTCCCCAACGCGGCCGCCTTGTTCGCCCGGCACCTGTCCAACGCCTTGGTGGCCGCGGTGGGAGGCCTTCCGGGGACCCTTCTCCAAGAATGCCTGCAGGGGGTGTGCTCCCTGGCGGCCAAGGGCATGTGGGCCGCGCGCTGGGTATTTGGGGAGAAGGAGCTGGAGCGCGCCCAGCTGGGCCCGGAGGCCGCGGATGCTCTGCTGCGTGCCCATGTCCTCCAGAGCGTGGTGAGGGGCGAGGCCCGCTACACCTTCACCCTCCTGAGCTTCCAGGAGTTTTTCGCCGCCTTGTGGTACGTGCTCCGCTTCCCAGGGCGGTTCCCCGAGTTCCAGAAGCTGGACCAGGCCCACGTGAGGCGCCTGCTGGCCCAGCCCGGCAGGAGGAGGAACGACCTGGCCCTCATGGCGCTCTTCCTTTTCGGCCTCTTCAACGAGACGTGCGCCCGGGCGGTGGGGAGGTCTTTCCGGTGCGAGGTGTCCCTGGGGAACAAGGAGGTGTTGTCCCGGACAGCCCTGTGGCAGGACCGCCTGCCCACCAAGCACCACGGGCTGCCCCTGCTGTTCTACTGCCTGCACGAGACGCGGGAGGAGGCGTTCCTGGCCCAGGTGCTGCAGCGCTGCAAGCAGGCCACGCTGATGGTCGCCAAGCACAGGGACCTGCAGGTGTGCGCTTTCTGCCTCCGCTGCTGCCAGCGCCTGCGGGAGATACAGCTGGTCTTGACCCTGACCATCCACAAGGCGATGTGAGTGCTCTGAGCCTGCCCTGCGCATCTGCTGGATCCCGGGACCCTGGACACCTGGCCCGGGCATCTGGGGTTAGGGTTAGGGGAGGCCATGATCTTCCTGCAATGAACTGAGAAATCTTGTAATAGGTTTCTGGGCTTTATATATTTTTTCTAAATTTTTGAAAAATATGTCTTTATTGATTTCAGAGAGGAAGGGAGAGGGAGAGAGAGAGAGAAAGATCAACAATGAGAGAGACTCATGCATCGGCTGCCTCCTGCACGCCCCACACTGGGGATCGAGCCCGCAACCCAGGCATGTGCCCTGACCGGGAATCGAACCATGACCTCCCGGTTCATAGGTTGATGCTCAACCACTGAGTCACGCTGGCCAGGCTGGGCCTTTCTCGTTATGGGAGAGTCTTACTAGCCTCATGACGGGGTCTGTGATGGTAACTAGGGTGGGGCCCTCCAGCCTGAGTTGACTGCCCATTTTCTACAGTGTCACCTCTAACCCTGACTCCCTTTCGGACTCTTCCCTCCCACACAGACCAGAAGGCACCAACTGGCGCCTCTGCTGGTGGGAGGAGCTCTGCATGGCGCTGGCTCTGCAGGAATTGGAGGCCCTGTCCCTGACCAACAGCGTCATAGAGCTGGACACCGTGCAGGCCCTCAGCGCGGCCCTGAAGAGCCCTCGCTGCCAACTGCACACCCTAAGGTGAGCCCCACAGGGCCCAATGGTCTCCGCCCACTCATCTCACGGGCACCATGCCCTCTGGGTCCCGTCCCCCTGGGCTGCCTCGAAGAGCACATGATGTGTTTTGTTATAACAGCCGTCATTTCAGAGAGTTACCACTACAGTGTTTCCTCGTGCTCAAGTGGAATAAAAAAAAAAAATTAAAAGAAAGATAACAATTCCTGACCTTTACTTGTGGTAAATAAATAATTAAATACATAAAGCACATATGCACATACGTCGAAATGACGGAACTTTTTTTTTTTTATAAATAAATGGGAGATGGAGACGTAACCACGAAACGAGGTACGTTGAGTCTGATGTAACCCAAGGACTGCCTGTAATATCCTAGACGCATCTGAGATAGGGAAACCAACAGTCCCCCGCAGTCCCTCCCTGGCTGGCCAACCTCCCACGTCCCTCCTTGGCCCCGACCATGCACTAGTGGGGTCCCTTGGCCTGGCCCGCACCTTCTCACAATCCGGGACCCTTCAGGGGATGTCGGAAAGTCAGTTTTGACCGATCCCTCAGGCCAGGCCGAGGGACCCCACTAGTGCAAGAATTGGTGCACTGGGTCTCTAGTAAATAAATAACAAAACAAAACAGCTGAATTGCAGGGACTGAATGGAGACCTAGGCTCATCTCCTTCTTTAGAACCAATGGTTGGACAGCCGGTGTTGGCCCCAAATGCACATCCCATTCTGCCGATAACTTGTGGCTAGATTTCCAGGCTGGGGAAGATGCAGGTGACCCTGGAGCCGCTCTGCGGTGGGAGATGGATGAGGCTCTGTGGGCGCTGTGTTCCCTGGGGAGCTGAGGCGTGGCGTTTTGTGTGGCTCCCCAGGTTGGAAGGCTGCTCGGTCACCCCTACAAGTATGCTTGAATTTGCCGAAGACCTTTCAAGTAACCTGAAGCTGAAGACGCTGATGGTACGGAGGATCTATCTGAAGGACGAGGGGGCCTGTTCCCTGTCCAAGGCCCAGCGGGAGAGGCTGGCGTAAGTGCTGTTCTTGTTGCCATGGGACTGTGGCTTGTTTGGTCACATAAGTGCTTCTGGGACAAAGGCAGTGATAGGAGAATGTGTGTATCATGGGACACACTTAAGTCCTTTTTTAAAAAAATATATATTTGTATTGATTTCAGAGAGAAAGGGAGAGGGAGAGGGAGATAGAAACATCAATGATGAGAGAGAATCACTGATCGGCTGCCTCCTGCATGCCCCACATGGGATCGAGCTCATAACCCGGACATGTACCCTGACCAGAATCGAACTGTGATCTCCTGGTTCATAGGTCGATGCTCAACCACAGAGACATGCCGGCCAGGCCACATCCTTCCTTACTAATAGGTTTTTTTTCACAGTCCTACTATTCATCTCGGTCTCTCTAACATGAATGCCCGCTCATGTCTTTAATGCATCTTTCTGCATTTTTTATAAGTCCCATCCCCCTGTGTGTCCCCCATTCCTCCTCTACCTCTATCCTCTGGATCCCACTGATCCCCAGCCCACCACCCCTTCCATTGGTCGTCCCACTTCCAGTCCTCTCTCTTAAACCGTAGGCCCCTCAGAGGTGGTCCCAGATGTAGGAGGAGGCTTTTGTGTTTAAAAGGAAAGAAAGCCCAACTGGAATGTCCATCCCTCAGTAGGAGACAAAGAAAACCCAGTCATGGCCCTGGCCCGGTGGCTCAGTTGGTTAGAGCAGTGGTCGGCAAACTCATTAGTCAACAGAGCCAAATATCAACAGTACGACTTAAATTTCTTTTGAGAGCCAAATTTTTTAAACTTAAACTATATAGGTAGGTACATTGTTATTAACTTAATTAGGGTACTCCTAAGGCTTAGGAAGAGCCACACCCAAGGGGCCAAAGAGCCACATGTGGCTCGCGAACCACAGTTATATATTATATATATTATATATTATTACATACATTATATATTATCCTATATAATAAAAGCCTAATGTGCTAAGTGTCTGGTTGACCAGTCGACCATCCAACCAATCAAAGCATACTATGCTAATGACATGCTAAGTCTTCTCAGCTGTTCGCTATGATGTGCACTGACCACCATGGGCAGACACTCCAACCAGTAGGTTAGCTTGCTGCTGGAGTCAGGCCAATCATGACTGAGCAAGACAGGCTGGACACACCCGGGACCCCTCCCACAGTCCCTCCCCAGCTGGCCAACCTCCCGCATCTCTCCCTGGCCCCAATTGTGCACTGGTTCCCTCAGCCTGGCCTGTGCCCTTTCGCAATCCAGGACACCTCAGGGGATGTCAGAGAGCTGGTTTCAGCCTGATCCCGCAAGCCAGGCCAAGGGACCACACTGGTGCACAAATTCGTGCACTGGGCCTCTAATATATATTACATATATATTATATTACATATATAATATATAGCATTATATATAACAAATTATATATCATATATCATAGTATTATATATAACATAATTATATATTATTTATAATTATATATTCTATATTATGTATTGTATATTTATTATTTATTTTATATTATATTTAATGTAAATGTGTGTGTGTGTGTGTATATATATGTGTGTGTATATATATATATATATATATATATATATATATATATATATATATCAGGCATTATATATAATGCCTGATTAGTGTGGCTTAGTGGTTTAGTTTTGACCCATGAACCAAGAGGTCCATGGTTTGATTCCCGGACAGGGCACATGCCCAAGTTTCAGGCTCAATCCCTGATGGGGGTTGTGCAGGAACCAACTGATTGATGATTCACTCTCATCAATGTTTCTATCTCTCTTCTCCCTTTCCCTTCCTCTCTCTCTGAAATCAATAAAAAACGTATTTTTGGGAAACACACAGAGTGGTGGGTGGAAAGTGAGTGGCCTGCCATCTGTGTCTGCCCCAGGCTGGAGTGCTGTGACTACACGCTGCTCTCCTACCAAAGCCTCATCCTCAATCTCAGCAGCAACCACAGGCTGACCCACCTGAGCCTGGCCGGGAACGCCCTGAGGCCCGAAGGCGCCAAGGACCTGTGGAGCGCCCTGCAGAAAGCCAAGTGCCCACTACAGAGGCTCGTGTGAGTCCCAAGTGCTCTGTTCCTAATCTTGGGGTGTACAGCACAGCGCAGGAAATGGAGTCATAATCTATATATATAAAAGCCTAATGTGCTAATTGTCCCTCCAACTGGGCGATCATTTGACCAGTCGCTATGACATGCACTGACCACTAGGAGGCAGACACTCAATGCAGGAGCTGCTGAGCTGCGGTGTCTTGGCAGCAACAGTTCTCGAGTAACACACCCCAAAACCAGAGAGGAAGGAGCCCAATTCCTCGCGGGGCTACGCAATTCCACCTTCTGCCAGGGGTTATGTTGTTGTGGGGTACTGTTGGCCCCAAATCTGGTTTACTGCACACTTATGTTTGTGTTCCACACCCTGTAGTGACAGCAACATTGCAGAGTGCCCTCTCGCACTCCAGAACCCCGCAGGGGATGTCAAACCCAGTTTCGGCCTGATCCCTACAAGTCAGGCCGAGGGACCCCACCTGCCGGAGGAACCCTGCTCATTCTGCAAATGCCCTTCAAGCTATGCTGACGCCCCAGATGCGGCCGGCTGGGGAAAGACCATGGGAGGTTGGCTCCAGGGCATGTCCGGGCCATCTTGCCCAGTCCCGCCCCACCATCCACCTTCTAATTAATTTCCTTTCAATGTGCACGAATCCATGCTCCAGGCCACTAGTATCTCAAACCTGTTACACACACATACACACACACACACGGCAGGAAGGAGGCCCCACGGAAGGGTGTGTGGGTTGGTTCTTCCCTCCGTGTTCTCTCTGCAGCCTGAGGAACTGCGCCCTGACTGCCTGCTGCTGCTGGGAGGCAGCCTGCGCTCTTGTCCAGATCACCACCCTGCAAAGCCTGGACCTCAGCTTTAACAGCCTGACAGATGAGGGGTTGGACCAGTTCTGCAAGACCCTGGAGAACCGTAACTTCGGACTCCAGGTGCTTGAGTGAGTGGCTCCCCCACCCCTAACTCCTCCCTGCTGTGAGACCAGAGCAAGGGTGGTCTCAGGAGGGAAAACGGGGACGTCTGCATGCATCACTGGGTTTTTCTCCATCGGGTTGGAGGACTGGGGCGTTTCAGAACAGGGGTTCTCCAAGTGTGGTCCTCAGATGAGAAACACCCTGGGACACTGTTAGAAATGCCAATTCTTTTATTTTTAAACTAGAGGCCCAATGCACGAATTTACGCACCAGTGGAGTCCCTCAGCCTGGCCTGCGGGATCAGGCCAAAACAGGCTCTCTGACATCCCCTGAGAAGTCCCAGATTGCGAGAGGGTGCAGGCCAGGCCAAGGGACCCCACGGGTGTACAATGGGGGCTGGGGAGGGACGCGGGAGGTTGGCCAGCCAGGGAGGGACCGCGAGAGGGCTCCAGAGTGTATCCAGTCAGTCTCGCTTAGTCCCAATCAGCCGGACCCCAGCAGCAAGCTAACCTACTAGTTGGAGCATCTGCCCCCTGGTGGTCAGTGCACATCATAGCAAGCGGTTGAGCGGCCTTAGCATATCATTAGCATATTATGCTTTGATTGGTTGAATGGCCGACCAGTCAACTAGACACTTAGAATATTAGGCTTTTATTATATAGGATATATCTTTATTGATTTCAGAGAGGAAAGGATAGGGAGAGAGAGAGAGAAAGAAACATCAGTGATGAGAGAGAATCATGGACTGGCTGTCTCCTGCATGCCCCCCTACTGGGGATCAAGCCTGCAACCCAGGTGTGTGCCCTGACTGGGAATGGAACCATGACCCCCTGGTTCCTAGGTTGACAGTCAACCACTGAGCCACGCTGGCCGGGCATTGGTTGCTTCTTGTATGTGCCCTGAACGGGGATCAAACCCGCAACCTTGGCATATCAGGACGACACTCTAATCAGCTGAGCTCCCAGGCCAGGGCAGCGTTCAATTTTTGAAGGATTATATGGCTCATACCATCTCAGAATTAGGGATGGTGCAGCCTACTCTGAATAATTGCCCACAACACACAAAACAACTGACCCAAAACCTCAAAATGCCTTTGGAGGGAGGGGACTTGCTCCTCCCGGAGTGTGTCTCCCGGGCTGTGACCGTTGTCCGGCTGAGCTCTCAGACGTGGGACATGGGGACTCTCCTGCCGTCTCTGTCCGCCCCGCAGGCTGGAGGGGTGCCGGCTCACCTCCGACTGCTGCCAGGCCGTGGCCTCCTTGCTCCTCTGCCACCCGAGCCTGAGGCACCTGGACCTGAGAAAGAATGACATTAGGCTCAGGGGCGTCGAGCTCCTGCACCAGACCTTCGACCAGTGGAAGGGGGACACGAGGGTCGTCCTGTAAGTGTCTCGGAGACCCTGGACCTCAGGCGGCCCTGCAGGTGTCGCTAACGCTCTTCTCTCCGTTCCTGGGGGTTTGGGCTCTTCTTTCCATGGCCGAGCAAACCCAACCCCCCCCTTCCCACTCCCACCCATGCTGGTGTGGCATTGGAGAGTGGACCTGGATTCTTCGGGCTGATGTTCAGTTGTCTCTTCATCTTCTCTCCTTCTCCTTCTCCTTCTCCTCCTCCTCCCTCCCCTTTTCCCTCCTTCCCCCTCCTCCTCCCTCTCCTCCTCCTTCTCCTCTTCCTCCTCCTCCTCCTCCTTCCTCTCCTCCTTCCCCTCCTCCTTCTCCTCCTCCTCCTCCTTCCCCTCCTCCTTCCCTCCTCCTCCTCCTCCTTCTCCTCCTTCTCCTCCTCCTTCTCCTCCTCCTTCCCCTCCTTCTCCTCTTCTTTCCCTTCTTTCTCCTCCTTCTCTTTTCTTCTTCTTCTTTTCCCCCTTCTCCTCTTCTTCGTTTGCCCTGTTCTATGGGTCAGTGAGCCAGGGGACCACACAAGAGTGTGTATTCGGAGGAAGGATCCTTGGGGCCGTTTGGAGGGCTGCCTACTAGCCCTGAAAAGCAGTGGGTGGACCTAGGCATGGGCGGGTCCCCCTCCTCCCAGCTCCTGGGCGCATCCCCACTGGTCTCGGTCTCTGCTCGGGACAGACCACGGGGTCTCCCTGGGTCTCACTTCTACAGGGGTCTCCCTCCGGCTGTGCCTGCCCTTCCAGGACAGACAGACGGACGAGAGTGCGGTTTCTCTCCTTCGCAGGGAGAGGAAGCAGAGTTGCCATGTGAACGTGGGGCTCAGGCTGGAGGGGCCCCGGGTGGACAACAAGGTGCTGAGGATCCTGCAGGACTGGGACGCGAGGCCGCGCTAGTTGGGGGGGTCCCCCGACGCCCTGATGGGAAGTGGGGGTGGCTTCCCCAATGGGAAATGGGAGGGGGCGCGGATTCGTGTTCTGTGGGCCCTTCTGAGTCTGGAATCGCTCAGTCCGGTGTGGGGTGGCATGACCCCCACAGGCGCCCCGGGAGGCACTGAAGGGGACGGGTTGGGTGTTAGACGGGGCCACCCCGGGAGGAGGGTCCAGCCCACGGGCTCCCTGCACCTATGCCTTTGGGTATGTCCCGTTAGCTGGGCTGTGGGGAACGGCGGGCTCACTTTTTAGATTATTTAATTAAACTTGTACACAAGTAATTGAATTTGTATGCCAGTATTTAATTAAATTTGTACACGAGTATTTAAACTTGTGACAAGTATTTAATTAAACTTGTACGCGAGTATTTGATTAAATTTGTACGCATTTGATTAAACTTGTACACGAGTATTTAAATTTGTACACGAATATTTAAACTTATACACGAATATTTAATTGAATTTGTACACGAGTATTGAATTAAACTTGTACACGAATGCAATTTGCAAACTTGTCTGAGTGTCCTTTATTCCCCCAGAGACGGCCTGTCCGCTCTTAAAAGGAGGACATTTCCCAGGGAGACAGTGCAGTGTCGGGAGGTGAGCACTCCCCGCTGCCCTTGCCTGGTTCTTTTTTCTTTTTATCTTTCTCATAAACTTGTTTATTTCAGAGACACAGAGAGAGACGTTAATTTCTTTGTTGTTGTTGTTAATCCTCACATGAGGATATTTTTTCCATTGGTTTTTAAAGAGTGGAAGGAGGAAAGGCAGGGGAGTGGGGGGGGAGAAAGAGAGAGGGAGGAACATCCATGTGAGAGAGACACATTGGTTGGTTGCCTCCTGCAGCGTGCCCTTGACCAGAGTCGAACCCAAGACCCCTTTGGTCCTTGAGTTGATGCTCTAACCACTGAGAAAAACTAGCCAGGCCTCTTTTTAAAATATACATATATTTACTTTTATTTATTTATTTTAAATTTTGGAGAGAAAGGAAGGGAGAGGGAGAGAGAGCAAGCAACATCCATGGGCTGCCTCCTGCATGCCCCCTACTGGGGATCGAGCCCACAACCTGGGCATGTGACCCAACCACAGGGATAGAACCTGAAACCCAGGTCTGTGCACTGATGGGGGATCAAACCTGCAACCTTTTGGTGTACACAGGGTGACACTCCAACCGAGCCACACCGGCCAGGGCAATAATTGTTTGTATGTATGTACGTATTTTACTTTTCAATTACAGTGAACATTCGATACCATGTTCTATGAATTTCAGGTGACCCCCCACCCCATTCTGAAGAGTAGACAAAAAGAAAGCCCTAGCTGGTGTGGCTCAGTGGATAGAGTATTGGCCTGCGGACTGAAGGGTCCCAGGTTCAATTCCGGTCAAGGGCACATGCCCAGGTTTTGGGCTCGATCCCCAGTAGGGGGCGTGCAGGAGGCAGCCAATCAATGATTCCCTCTCATCGTTGATATTTCTATCTTGCTCTCCCTCTCCCTTCCTCTCTGAAATCAATAAAAATATATTTTTTTGAAAAGGCCCACCCAAAGTCAAGCTCTGTTGCCAATATGTTTTAGTCTGTTCTCCAGAGCCGGGAATTTAACAGCTGGAGCCGATCCGATGCCTCACTAAGAGCTCCCCCTCCCCTGCCTTGTAAATGAAGGCCTTGCTGGGGTCAATGGGCTCAGAGGTGGGCCCCATGAAGCCAGAGACCCCACCCACTGAGGTGCCCCCCCAAACGGTCTAGGAGATGCCCCCTTTCCTACAGCAATGAGGACACATGCCTTGGGAAGAGCAGGGCTAGGAGGAGGACAGTGCTCTTTGATCTTGGTGGCACATTGAATGACATGGGGACCTTCAAAAGTGCATAGGGGCCTGGCCAGTATTTCCCAGTGGATAGAGCATTGGCCAGCAGACTGAGGGATCCCGGGTTCAATTCCTGTCAAAGGCACGTACTTCAGTTGCACACTCCTCCCTGGCCCAGGCCCTGATCAGGGCGCATGCAGGAGGCAACCGATCAATGTGTTTCTCTCACGTCGATATTTCTGTCTTTCCTTTCTCTTCCACTTTCTAAAAAATCAATGGAAAAATACCCTCTGGTGAGGATTCTTTTTAAAAGTGCATATGAGCCTTGGCCAGGTGGCTTAGCTGGTTCGCGCTGACCATACATCAAGGTTTTGAATTCGATCCCTGGTCAGGGCACGTGCAAGAAACAACCAATGAGGGTAAGAGATCAACCTAAGGACTTGTATGCATGCACACAAGCATAACCAATGGACATGACACTGGGGGACAGGGGAGGCCAGGGGACTGTCAAGGGTGGGGGGGAAAAGGACACATGTAATACCCTTTGTAATACTTTAAGCAATAAAAAATATATATATAAAAAAAAGAAAAAGGAAAAAAAAAGAAACAACCAATGAGTGCATCGGTAAGTAAAAAACATGAATCTGAGGCTAGGGGACTGTCAAGGGTGGGGGGGAAAAAAGGACACATGTAATACCCTTTGTAATACTTTAAGCAATAAAATATATATATATATAAAAAAGAAAAAAGAAACAACCAATGAGTGCATCGGTAAGTAAAAACAATGAATCAATGTTTCTCTCTCTCTCTCTCTCTCTCTCTCTCTCCTCTCTCTCTCTCTCTCTCTCTCTCTCCGTCTCCCTTTCTCTCTCTCAATAAAAGTGCAACGGTATCCTGGCTCCCACCCCAGACATCCTGACCACTGGGATTTGAAAAGTTCCCCCAGGTGAGTCTAAGCTACGGTAAGGTTTGGGGAGGACTCGTAGGAGTTAGCATTACCTTTCACAACGTATGAGTGTATCACATCAATCTGAACCTACACGGGGATGCCAGTTCTATCTCAATCAAGCTGAGGGCAAGGGAGGAAAGAGACTGTGAGAGAAGCAGGAATGGGAGGATGGAGGCACGAGGCTGCTGGCATTTCTGCTGCCCCAGGTGGGCCCTGTAGAATGTTGGAGAATATTTATTGGATGACCAACGGGAATGCCTACTCCGAGGTCACGGGGAACCCAGGTGAGAGTCTCGTGGAGAAGGTCGATTGAACAACAGCGTCCTTTCATAGAGATCAATAAGCGCCAGGTGTGCCCTGGTTGGATGGCTTGGTTGGTTGAGCATCGTCCCATATACCAAAGGGTCATGGGTTCAGTTTCCCATGGGGACACATACCTGGGTTTCAGGTTCAATCCCTGGTTGGGGCACGTACAGGAGGCAACAGATAGATGTTTCTCTCTCTCTCTATCTCTCTCTCTTTCTCCTCTCCCTCCCTCCCCTCTCTCTAAAATATCAATAAAAACATATCCTCAGGTGAGGATAAAAAATAATATGTGCCCTGGCCAATTTGGCTGAGTGGATAGAGTGTAGGCCTGCGGACTGGAGGGTCCTGGGTTCGATTCCGATCAAGGGCACGTGCCTGGGTTGCGGGCTTGATCCCCAGAGGAGGGCATGCAATGATTCTCTTTCATCATTGATGTTTTGATCTCTATCTCTCCCTCTCCCTTCCTTTCTGAAATCAATAAAAATATTTTATAACAATAATAATAATATGCCCGGTCGGTGTGGCTCAGTGGTTGAGCGTCGGCCCATGAACCAAGAGGTCATGGTTAGATTCCTGGTCAGGGCACATGCCCAGGTTGCAGGCTTGATCCCCAGTGTGGGACAAGCAGGAGGCAGCCGACAGGTGTTTCTCATTGATGGGGTTTTTATGTTTGTTTGTATGTCAATCCTCACCCGAGGCTATTTTTCCCATTGAATTTTAGAGAGAGTAGAAGGGAGGGGGAGAGACAGAAACAGAGAAACATCAATGTGAGAGAGACACATCGATTGGTTGCCTCCCGCATGCCACACAAGGGGGATGGAGCCTGCAACCGAGGTACGTGCCCTTGACTGGAATCGAACCCGGGGCCCTTCAATCCGAGGGCTGATGCTCTATCCACTGAGCCAAACTGGGGCTCATTGGTGTTTCTATCTCTCTATCCCTCTCCCTTCCTCTCTCTAAGATCAACAAAATTTTTTAAAGAATAATAATGATAATTAATAAAAATAAATGCCAGGCCCTGACCGGTTTGGCTCGGTGGATAAAGCGTCGGCCTGCAAACTGAAGGGTCCCGGGTTCGATTCCGGTCGGGGGCATGTACCTTGGTTGCGGGCACATCCCCAGGAGGGGGTGTGCAGGAGGCGACTGATCGATGTTTCTCTCTCACCAATGTTTCTAACTCTCTGTCCCTCTCCTTTCCTCTCTGTAAAAAATCAATAAAATATATTTTTAAAAAATAAAGTAAAATAAATGCCAGGCGAAATGTCCAGGTCAGTTAAAGGACACACGTGTGCGCACACACACAATTATTGCTGCAAGACAAGCAGGTGAAGGCCGTGCTCGCCCCGAGGCCCTGGGCACAGGTGTGGTGGGGAGGTGCACGCAGGGGCAGGGAGCAGGTGCCCCTCATTCACTGGGCCGTGCCCTTCCCAGCCCAAAGCAGCCAATGGCCCGAGGCAGCCAATGGCCTGTGGCCACGTAACCACCCAAGATTCCCCAAAGACCCTCTGCAGGTGGTGCTGGTTGGGACCTGATCCTAGAGGTGAGGAGTGGAGTCGGTGAGTATTTCCTCAGGTCTTGTTCCAGCACCTTCCTTTCTCTTAAACGTTCAAACCTACTTGTTGAGCCTTCGTCTGGGTCCCCACCCTCCCCACTAAGACTCTCCGGAGCCCAAAGCCACCTTTAGAAAGAATGGAAGGTCCCGTTTCCCAAGCAAAACGCCCCTGTTAGGGGCCTTAGGAACCTGCCTCACCCTTTCCAGTCTCTGCGTCTAAACCTGAGGACGGAGCTGGGGTCCTGGGGTTCAAGGTCAAGGTCAGCGGAGGTGGTGGGAGTTGGGGTGCTGCTGTGTTCGTGGTGCTCACGTGAACTGTGGCTCAGCCACCCACCCTGCGGGAGCTCTCTGTCCAGTGAGGAAACAGAGTCCCAAGTGAGGTAACAGGGTGGTGAGGGTGGGACCCCCTTCGAAACCTCGCTGTAATGGGAACCGCCTCTGCGGGGTCCCCGAAGACCCTGTGATGTCCTCAGGGAGGAGAGAAAGGGTGGGCGCCAAGTGGAGTTTCGGGGGGGGGGGGCACATTGGAGAGAAACATACATCCCCATCGTGTTTGCTTGCTCTAAAATACAGAAAGGTATCTCCTGTGAAAGCATCATTTTAGGGAAAGCTGGTGGAAATAAATGGGTCTTACTAAAATGATTGAGCTGTTACCATTACCCATCTATTAGTGACAGAGAGACAGGGAGGTAGGAAGAGAGAGAGAGAGAGAGAGAGAAGAGAAAGAGAGAGAGAGAGATGGGGAGAGAGAGAGAAACGTTTTGGGGGTTGGGGAGGGAGACAAGCAGGAGAGCCATGCCCTCTCTCCCTCTCCCTTTTGTCTGCTCATTTAGTCTCAGAAAATAGCCTTCACCACCCAGCTTGTTTTGGGGGTTTTTTTAGTTAGGGCAATATTGGTTAATAAAACTATGTAGGTTTCAGGAATATAATTCTACACATCATCTGTGTATTGTGTGTTCACCACCCCCAAGTCTCCTGCCATCACCATTAATCCCCCCTTAACCTTTTCCTACCCCCCCCAACCCCCTCTCCCTCCGGGAATCACCCTACTGTTGTCTGTGAGGGATTAAGCAAAGGAAAAAAAAAGCTCACCTGGGGTGGAGACGGGAGCCGGGTGGAGGGGGTCAATGAGGGGGGAAAAGAGGAAAGTTGGGGTAGTACGTCTGTAATACTTTCAGCAATAAAAATAAATTTCAAAAGAAAAGAAAAAACTCATAGACACTGACCACCCCTCTTCATTCACACCCCTCTAGCCTACCCTCTTGCTGGGACACCATCTCCCCTTCCCTCCCCAGTCAACCCTTCCAGCTGGGCTCTAACCCCATGTGGGTGTCTGTCTGTCTTTGGGGCTTCATGTCCCACTTCCTTTTCTGGGATGTATTGCACGAGGGGTAGCAGTAGCTTTTCTCTGAAACACGGTGAGCTACTCACCACATCAGAACTTTGGCCTTCAATTCCATCAAGGGAGGACAATAATATCTCAACATTGAGGTAGTTTACAGAAAGCGTGAGTGGCGTACCGTCTGTCACCTGAGGAGGGGTTGGGCAAGAACATGCATTTATTTGTTTTTGATTCTTTGCTTGTTCTGCCTTTATAGATTCTTTTTCTTTTTCAATTAAATGTATTGGCATAGCATTGGTTAATAATGTAACATTCAGCAGTAGAGTTATTGGGGTGACATTGGTTAATAAAAGTATATAGGTCTCACGTGTACAGTTCCATAATGCATCCTCCGAATATTGTATTGTGTGTTCACCACCCCAAGTCAAGTCTCCTATCACCATATGTTTGACCCTCTTTACCCTCCAGCCCCCTTCCCCTCTCATATGCTGTTGTCTGTGTCTGAGTCTTTGTGTTTGTTGCTTTCTTTTATACCCACATATGAGTGAAACCATGTGGTTCTTGTCCTTTTCCATCCGACTTATTTACTCAGCACGATACTCTCAAGATCTATCCATATTGTATCAAATGACACTATTTTTTTTTTATTTTTCGTATAGACATTTTAAAAATGTTTTCATTGATTTTTATTTTATTTTTTTCACCCTCACCTGGGGATATTCTTCCATTGATTTTTAGAGTGAATGGAAGAGAGAGGGAAAGACAGAAATATCGATGTGAGAGAAATACATCAATTGGTTGCCTCCTGCACCAGCCCTGACCAGGGAAGAGCCTGCAACTGAGGTGCATGCCCTTGTCCGGAATCAAACCCGGGACCCTTCAGTCCACAGGCCGATGCTCTATCCACTGAGCCAAACTCGCCAGGGCTGGGCTGTAAGTTTAATTCAAATGTTTCCTTCAAGTTGTGGGTATGTATGAAAGTGTTTCCTTGTGACCACCCAAAATTCATTCTCTTTTAAATAAACTTCCTCGTTAATTTAACCACTCAACCAAGCAGTTGAGAGATTTTGTGTGTCTACTTTCCATCTCCGTGTATCCAGGTTCTTTTATGTTAGAGGTTTGGGAAAATGAGGAAATCATTTTAATTTTGAACGAAGAAATCTGAATTAGGATGTAACCTTTTCAACTTGTTCTTAGAAATAAGTGGGGTCATTTTTTCCCCCTCTAACCACCAATAGGATCGATAGTTTTCCTAGCTATTACATGGGAATGTGGAGAAAAGCTTAGTTTTTTGCTAGGGTTCTGTTTTGAATAATCCAGCACATAAACTTTATCATCTGTCCATTGTTAGAAGTTTTCTCCTCTCCGTCTCTCTCCGTCTCTCTCCGTCTCTCTCCGTCTCTCTCCGTCTCTCTCCGTCTCTCTCCGTCTCTCTCCGTCTCTCTCCGTCTCTCTCCGTCTCTCTCCGTCTCTCTCCGTCTCTCTCCGTCTCTCTCCGTCTCTCTCCGTCTCTCTCCGTCTCTCTCCGTCTCTCTCCGTCTCTCTCCGTCTCTCTCCGTCTCTCACTCATAGATGGGTAATAGTAACAGCTCAATCATTTTAGTAAAACACGCATTTCTACCAGCTTCCACTAAAATGATGCTTTCATGGGAGATGCCTTTTCATAGTTTAGAGAAAGCAAACACTATGGGAAGGTATGAAGTAAAATGTGTTCTTCGGTTCACCCTCCCCCCCTCAATCCATGTCCTGTTCATCACCCCTAAATAGTGTGTTTGGGGTGGGGCACTAATATCTTACAGGTGGAGGCACCGTTCTGCGCTGGCAGTTGGGTATTGAGGATGCAGGGCTTGAATGGACACACCTGTCTCGCTGTTGTTGAGAGTATTACAGATGTCCCCCATTTTTCCCCATTTGCCCCCCTCTTCCCACTCCTGCCCCTCCCCAGGCCTTCACGACACTATTGTCTGTGTCCATGGGCTATGCCTATACCCATATAAGTTCTTTGGTTCATTTCTTCCCGCCTCCTCCCCCCTTCCCTCTGAGATTCTACTCTCTGTTCCATGCTTCTACTAGTATGCCTCTGGACCTATTTTGTTCGTCACTTTGTTCATGAGGTTCCACATATGGGTGAGATCATGTGATACCTGTCTTTCTCTGACTTATTTCACTTGGCATAATACTCTCCAGGTCCCTCCATGCTGTCTCAAAGGGTAAGAGATCCTTCTTTTTCACAGCTGCGTAGTATCTCATGGTGTAAATGTCCCACAGCTTCTTTATGCACTCACCTACTGATGGGCACGTGGGCTGTTCTCACCTACTGATTGGCTCTTGTAAATAATGCTGCAGTGAACATAGGGGTGCACGTGCTCATCCTGACTGGAGCACACCTGTTCTTGATCAACCCCAAACGGCCTTCGGTGTTGCCGTTGCAAACAAGCCTGTGTCTAATGATATTAGCAGTTAGAGGGCATAGCTCTTGACAAACTGCCCTCCACAGACATGGCCCCAGTTGATACGTCTACTCAAAATATAGGAGCACCTATTTCTCAGCCCAAAGAAAAGTAGTAGGTCATCAAACATTAGGGAGCTGGCCAGCTGGCATATGGGACTCGGCACCTGCCAGCTCAATAAAGCCGAAATATTTCCCCCAGAATTTTATGGTCTATTTTTGGCTTTTGATAACTTGGCACTTGGAATTCTTATTGAGCAACATTATCATTCATGACTCTGTAACTAGTACAAATGGAAGCCACATCCAGGTAGAGTTGATTTTGTTTGTTTTTTTAATCCTTTGCTCGCTTTTAGAAAATGTTTTTATTGATTCCAGAGAGAAAAGGAAAGGGAGAGAGAGATAGAAAGATCAATGATGAGAATCATTGATTGGCTGCCTCCTGCACCCCACATACTAGGGATCGAGCCCGCAACCCAGGCATGTGCCATTGACCGGAATCAAACCTGGACCCTTCAGTCTGCAGGCCGGCGCTCTATCCACTGAGCCAAACCGGCTAGAGTGAAGCATTCTTTACAAGATCCAAGATCTAGAAACAGCCCAACTGTTTATGAGTGGGTAAAAAAAGCTGTAGCACATATACACTATGAAATACTTTGCGACTATAAAAAGAGAGAGAAACCCGGCTGGTGTGGCTCAGGGGTTGAGTATCAACCTATGAACCAGGAGGTCACATTTCGATTCCTGGTCAGGGCACATGCCCAAGTTGTGGGCTCGACCCCCAGTGGGGGTCATGCAGAAGGCAGCCAGTCAATGATTCTCATTATTGATGTTTCTCTCTCTCCCCCTCTCCCTTCCTCTCTGGAATCAATAAAAATATATTTACTTAAAAAAAAAAAAAAAGGAAATCTTACCTTTTGCAACAGCATGGAGGGACCTGGAGAGTATTGTGCTAAGTGAAATAAGCCAGTCAGAGAAAGACAAGTATTCTCACTCATATGTGGAATCTAAGGAACAAAATAAAGTGATGAACAAGACAGGACCAGAAGCAGGAGGCATGGAATAGACTGACATATCTCGGAGGGGAGGGGAGGGGGCCGGGAGGGATGGCAGTGAATGTGATCATGTGATGCTTGACTCTCCTTTGAATCTTGTCACTCTCCCCCACCCCCACCCCCAGGTCCCATCTGCTCCCTGCAACCAGGGAAATCTTCTCCATCCACACAGGGGGGCCCTCCACCTGGCGTAGCAATGGGAGAAGCCAACGTGTCCCCCTTTTCCGACTGTGGACTGCGCTGGTGTCTCCAGCAGCTGGACAAGGAAGAGTTCCACACGTTCAAGGAGTTGCTGATGGGAAGCACTTCGGGGCTGGTCCCGGGCTCCTTCCCGTGGATGGAGGTGGCTGGGGCGGACGCACAGCACCTGGCCTTCCTCCTGCATGAGCACTGCCGGGCTCTGGTGGTCTGGAGCATGGCCATGGACATCTTTCTCGAGATGAACCTGCCAGTGCTCTCTCAGAAGGCGAAGGAGGAGATGGAAAGTGAGTGAGGCCACCCAGCCGCTGTGGCTCAGTGGTTGAGTGTCAGCCTAGGAACCAGGAGGTCACGGTTTGATTCCCAGTCAGGGCACATGCCCGGGGTGTGGGCTCCATCCCCAGTAGGGGGCAAGCAGAAGACAGCTGATCCATGATTCTCTCTCATCATTGATGTTCCCCCCTCTCTCTCCCTCTCCCTTCTTTTCTCCCTTCTGCTCTCTCTAAAAACCAATGGAAAAAAATCCTTGTGTGAGGATTAACAACAAAATACTGAGACCACAGGATAGTTTCCCCTCTTGCACATTTAAAAAGAAAATCTGTATTATTGAAAGTATTACATAGGTGTGGGGGGTGGGGGTGGGGGTGGGGTCCAGGAGGCAGCTGATCCATGATTCTCTCTCATCACTGATGTCTTTCTCTCAAATCAATAAAAACATTTTTTAAAAATCAGAGCACCCTTCACATAAATCTCTGTTGTTTCTCGGTGATGGTGACACTTGAGGCTCCGACTCCACTGTCCCCATTACAGGCTAGTCATGGGGTAAACTGGCTCATCTTGGTTCCCCTCAGTCATTTGGGCAGAGAGTGCACTTAAAAATTATTTTTTCTTAATTTGAGAGAGAGAGATTTTTTGTTCCACTTATTGCACTCAGTGGTGGACTCTTGTATGTGCCTGACTGGGGATCAAACCCGCAAACAATCGGCATATCGGGATGATGCTCTAACCCCAACTGAATCACTGGCTAGGGCCATTGCTGTGATGTTATGGCCACTGTTCTGTCATCTGCTCTGTGTTGCAGAATGTTCACTGGCTGAAATACTACAAGATTTTACACCCACGAAGACTGACCAAGGAACAAGCATGGGCCAGCCTTCAGGTCAGTGTGGGGTGTTGGGTCAAGGGTTTCCTATCTCAGTCCATGGCCCTGCCATCCTCTGTGCTGCTCACACCAGAAGCCTGGTCATTATTTTTAGTACTAGAGGCCCGGTGCATGAAATTCATACACAGGTGGGGTCCCTCTGCCTGGCAAGCAATCAGGGCCATCTCACCCAGTCCCAATTGGGGCTGGTCACCAGGGAGGGACCGCAGAAGGGCTTTAGAGTGTGTCTGGCCCCATCTCACCAAGTCCCGATAGGCCGGACCCCAGCAGCAAGCTAACCTACCAGTTGGAGCATCTGCCCCCTGGTAGTCAGTGCATGTCATAGTGACTGGTGAGTTGACCAGTCGGTCAGACACTTAGCATATTAGGCTTTTATATAGAGAGATGTTTATTTATGATTGATTGACTCTTTTCTCTACCTTCTACCTACTTCATCAGAAAATCATATGAGACCTAACTCTGAAGTAGGACTTTTTTTTTTTTTCTTTTATTTTAGAGAGGAAGTGGGGGGAGAGAGAGAGAGAAAAAAACATCAATGATGAAAGGGAATAATTGACTGGCTGCCTCCTGCACACTCCCTACTGGGGATCAAGTCCATAACCTGGGCATGTGCCCTTGACTGGGAACTGAACCATGACCTCCTGGTTCATAGGTTGATGAACAACCACTGAGCCAAGTTGGCTGGGCTGGACGTATTTCTACACATTTATTACCATAGCCTGTATGTCAGAATCATCTCACTTGAATGTCTAATCTGTTTCTACTCTGGTTACATGGAATCCTTTCCCCACGGTGATAAGCAAGGTGATCTTTTAAAAATTTCCATCTGGCCCCAGCCACCTTGACTCAGTGGATAGAGCATCAGCCTGCGGACTGAAGGGTCCCAGGTTTGATTCTGGCCCAGGGCGCATGCCTAGGTTGCGGGCTCAATCCCCAGTAGGGGGTGTGGAGGAGGCAGCCGATCAATGATTCTCTCTCATCATTGATGTTTCTATCTCTCTCTCCATCACCCTTCCTCTCTGAAATCAATAAAGAAATATATATATTTTTAAAAATTTCCATCTGGACAGATTCATAGATAAAGAGGAGGCCATAGCTCAGGTGGGGATGGTGCTGGAGGCGTGGAGGGATTGAGCAAAAGAGGGAAAAAAGGAAAAGAACCCATGCCCTGGCCAGTGTTTCTTGGTGGTTAGAGCCTCAACCCTGGCACCAAAGGGTCTTGGGTTTGCTTCCCAGTCAAGGGCACATTCCTCGGTTGCAGGTTTGATCCCTGGCCCCAGTTGGGGCTCATGCAACCAATCTATGTGTGTCTCTCACATTGATGTCCCTCACTGGGTTTGACCTCTCATTTTAACAGCTTACCCAAAGGTCTCCAAAGAATAAAAAGCAGAAATGAGACCAAAACCCGTACCCTCTGAGCTTGACCCTAAGGCTCGTTTTCTGTCCACTGTGCCTCTCCAGCTGAGTCATAGTTTCAGATGGGTCAGAAGGTGAAATCTGGCGTTGCAGACCCTATCTCGGGGATACTGTGGGTCTGACCTTGTTAAGTCACCTCTAAGTGTGTGGGATTTCATTCTTCTTCCCTCTCTTTTCTGCAGAAATGTCAAAAGTTATAAAACAAGATGATACCACAGCAGCAAAGACAAAAGACCAAGGTAAAGAACTCTAGTTTATTCATAGTCTCTCTCTCTCTCTCTCTCTCCCTCTCTCTCTCTCACTCTTCCTCTTCCTCTCTTCCTCTCTCTCCCCCTCCCTTCTTCTTTCTCTCAAAATCAATAAAAAACATCCTTTTACCTGACCAGCATGGCTCAGTGGTTGAACATCAACCTATGAACCAGGAGGTAAGGATTCAATTCCCAGCCAGGGTACATGCCTGGGTTGCAGGCTCAATCCCCAGTAGGGGGTGTGCAGGAGGCAGCTGATCAATGATTCTCTCTCATCATTGATGTTTCTATCTCTCCATCTCCCTTCCTCTCTGAAATCTATATATATTTTTAAAATATATCCTCAAGTGAGGAATAATAATAATCACAATAATCCATTGCTGAGAAGCAACAAAGTCTCCTGTGTGTAGAGTGTCTGAAATCCAGACTGTCTTCCAACTTTGTCTCCTGTTTCTCTTCTGCCCTCTCCGGTCTGGCATAGGCCAAGGAGGTGACAAAGAGAACTACAAACATCATGTGAAGAAAAGGTTCGCCACAGTGTCGGGTGTACACCACAGTTTCAAAACCTTTGCCGCTGATTGTCCACAAATGCAAATGTTGTCTGGTGCTTTCGCTCCAGACCAGCAGGGCTTCCGGCCACTCACCGTGGTCCTGCACGGAAGACCGGGGGTCGGGAAGTCGGCTCTGGCCAGAAGAATCCTGCTGCACTGGGCCCGTGGGGAGCTCTACCCGGGTGTGTTCTCCTATGTCTTCTTCCTCGATGCCCGAGACATACCATGGAGGAGGAGAAGCAGTTTCACGGAGTTAATTTCCAGGGAGTGGCCAGACCCTGAAGTCCCCGTGGCAAACATCATGTCCCAACCAGACAGGCTCTTGTTTGTGGTCGACGGTTTTGATGACCTGGACGTTGCCCCCGAAAATGCTGACCTGAACGTCTGTGACAACTGGACGGAGAAGCGGCCCGTGTCCGACCTGATGTGCAGTCTGCTGAAGAAGGCCCTGCTGCCCGAGTCCTCTCTGATCGTCACCGTCAGAGACGAGAGCCTGGAAAAGCTCTGCTCGATGCTCATCTCTCCCCGCTACCTCTTCATTGAAGGAATCGCGATGGAGAAAAGGATCCAGGTGTTCCTCAAGCACGTCAAGAACGAGGACCAGAAAACGCAGGTCCTGCACGAGGTGCTGGACAACCACGTGCTGATTGACAGGTGCCAGGTGTCCGTCACGTGGTGGCTGCTCTGCCGGGCTCTTGAGCTGCAGACGGCCTCGGGGAAGGGCCTGCCCCCTACCTGCCAGGTCCTCACCGGCTTGTACGCCACCTTCGTGGCCCATCAGCTCGCCCCTCGAGATGGCCCGGGACGCTGCCTCAGTCCGGACGAACGAGTGGTGCTGAAGGGCCTGTGCCGGATGGCCGTGCAGGGCGTGTGGGCCAGGAAGTTCGTGTTCTACAGCGATGACCTGGGCATTCACGGGCTGACGGAGCCGGAGCTCTCCGTGCTGTTTCACAAGTACATCCTCCTGCGGGACAGCCAGGGGGAGCGGTGCTTCACGTTCCTGCACCCGAGCCTGCAGGAGTTCTACGCGGCCCTGTACTACGTGCTGGAAGGCCTGGAAGCCGAGTGGGAGCCCCATGCTCTGTGCATTGAGAATTCCAAGAGCCTGAAGGAGCTCAAGCAGGTCAGCTTCAACGTCCACGTGCTGCAGATGAAACGTTTCTTGTTTGGCTTCATGAACAAAGAGGTGGTGCGGGCCCTGGAGGACCTGCTGGGGTGTCCCGTGGCCCTGGTGGTGAGGCGGGTGCTGCTCCAGTGGGTCTCCCTGTTGGGTCAGCAGGCCACCACCACCTCCCCGCTGGACTTCCTGGACTCCTTCTACTGTCTCTTCGAGACCCAAGACGAAGAGTTTGTCCGTTTGGCGTTGAGAAGCTTCCGGGAAGTGAGGCTGACGATGAACCGGCCCATGGACCTGAAGGTGTCCTCCTTCTGCCTCCAGCACTGCCAGCGCCTTCGGGAAATTCAGATGGACGTCAGGGAGATCTTCCCCGAAGATGAGGCCACCGAGGCGTGGCCCGTCGTTCCGCAAGGGTGTTTGCCCCCCCCCCCCGCCCGCCCCCGCAATTTTCATTCTTTCCATCTCCACGCGGAGGTGTTGGTGTTTTGAGATGATCATCGCCACAATCGTGCTAATTAGCATAGCCATCCCTCACACAGCTACCTTGGAGCAGAAGACATTTAACATGTTGCGGACGGATCATGAGAATTCTCGCTTCATATGACACCGATTTACAGAGTATCATACTTTAAAAAGATATTAGCTTGTAACAACATGCAATGAATAACTTCAAAATGCAACGGGTATTTAATTTTAAAGCGTGCCTTTCACATTTACGTAAAATGCTTTTTGTACTCGTTCAATAGAAACTTATCTGGCCACTGGGTAAAGCTAGCAATAAAACTACTGGTCCGCAATGCGTTAAGACCTACCGTCCTAGCCAATTTCCAGTGCGAAACACCGTAGCTGTACGTTATATGTAACTGAGACTCTGCGCCCTTTGGCCAACGTGCCCCCATTCCCTCCACTCCCCCCCCCCAAATCACTGGCAACCACCGCGGAGGCTCGCTCTGCCTGTGTGAATCCCACTGTTTTACATTCTGCATGCGAGGTCATGCGTGTCTTTCTGTGTCTGGTTGGTCCCGCTCAGCATCATGTCCTCTGGGTTTACCTATGTTGTTGCCAATGGAAACACCTCCTTTTATAAGGCTGGGTAATATTCTATTGGGGGTACGGGTGACATTTTCTTCATCCATCCACCGACATCTGGGTTGTTTCTATAGGGTGTCCCCCAAAAATGTAGACACACACTTTATATACTTACAAAGGCCGTGTTTGTTAAAAGACATTTCATTTTCAAAATTGAGCTCTCAGCTGTGAGAGTATGTATACATTTTGGGGGGGATACTCTGCATATCTTGGCTGTTGTGGATAATAGAATGAAAATATCTCATAGGAACCTGACTATCAATTCTTTGTTTGTTTGTTTGTTTGTTTTGTAAAATATGTATTTATTGATTTCAGAAAGAGGAATGGAGAGGGGGAGAGAGATAGGAAGTCAGTGATGAGAATCATCGATCAGCTGCCTCCTGCACGCCCCATACTGGGGATGGAGCCCACAGCCCAGGCATGTGCCCTGACTGGGAATGGAACCGTGACCTCCTGGCTCATGGGTCGATGCTCAACCACTGGGCCATGCTGTCCAGGCCTGACTGTCAATTCTTTTGCATACATAGGATTATTGGGTCGTAAAGTAGTTTTATTTTTAATTCTTTTAGGAGCCTCCCTGCTGTTCTGCATAGAGGCTGCACCATTTCACATGCAAAGGGGAGCTGGCATCAAAGCACAATCTGACTCAAGAGCCACTGGCTCCAAACCATCCTACTGCACCCCTGGGTACCAAGGACTCAGGATGCAGGGTAGCCAGGAGTGTGCCCATGCAAGGCATGGACATCTCTATTGTGTCCTCTGAGCCTCTACACCCATCCCCATCTCATCCTGTAGACTAGTCTCTCTTCTCTGACATGGGAGTGGCTGTTGCTCATGTTAAAATCCATCCCATGGGCCTACCCAGTTTGGCTCAGTGGCTAGAGCATCAGCCTGCAGACTGAAGGGTCCCAGGTTCCATTCCGGTCAAGGGCACATGACCAGGTTTCGGGCTCGATCCCCAGTGGCATGCAGGGGCAGCTGATCAATGATTCTCTCTCACCATTGGTGTTTCTTTCTCTCTCCCTCTCCCCCTCCCTCTCCCTTCCTCTCGGAAATCAATAAAAATATATATTTTTTTAAAAATTCATCCTGTGGAAGCCAATGTTTCCTTCCTTCTCCCATGCAGGCTGCAGACCAAGCCCCTGGTCATCGAGTGGTGGGAGAACCTCTGCTCCGTGCTCAGCACCCACCCTAGCCTGCAACAGCTGGACCTCGCAGGCAGCATCCTGAGCGAGTGGGCCATGAGGACTCTGTGCGTCAAGCTGAGGCAGCCAACCTGCCAAATCCAGAAGCTGATGTAAGGCTGCCCTAAGGCCAATCTATAAACTGTAGATTCGGAGGGGACAAGTGCCATGGGAGGTATAAGAACCGAGCTCCCAAAAGCAATGGGATGGGAAGGGACTCAAGACCTCATGAAGGGTGGGTTCTTGTGTTGAGGTTTTGAAGGATGCATAAGAGTTGGTTAGTAAGGGGAAAAGAGAAGGGAGCTCATTTCAGGCGAGTGGTCCAGCATGAAGCAATGAATGCAAAGATCAAAGTGCATGATTTCCTGAAGCACTTCCATCAGTCCTTGGTGCCTTTAAGGTCATAAGGTCATATCAGTATATATAAAAGGCTAAGTGACCAACTGTATGTCCGGTCGACCAGCCGACCGGTACATATGAAGCACACTGGCAATTTAAAAATAAACATTGACTCGTGCATGCGCAATACATATTAAAATATTTTATATTTTAATTTTATACTACCATATTATATATACTACTTGACATGTAATTTTTTGCAGTAACTTAGTTACTGCACGAATCTTCTAATTTATTGCCTTTCCATGTGCACGAATCCATGCACCGGGCCACAAGTATAGTCATAAGCTCACACATATTTGAATGCTAATACGTTCCTGGGTCTGTAGACCCCGGGGTACTCACCAGGCACCTGCAGTGATCGAGGAAGGGTGAGTTGTACTTTGAAGGTTCTATTTAATGTTCCTTCCAAGGCCATGCAAAGCCCACAGGACAGCCAAGACGAGAGTCAGTCAGGTTCTTGGTTGCAAAGGCCGCCCCCTCCCCATCCTCCCCTTTCTGCGTCTGAGTGCTTTCCTTCAAAGGGGCTGGGCCAAGGGGCTGGTGACCCCACAGTAATGAATGGTGCCCTGTCACCTTACGTCCTGCACAGAACTTAACAGCTCTGCCCACTGCTATTTGAACACCCTCCCCGGGGAAGCCCTCCCCATAGCTGTCCCTGTGTTGCTGCTGTTTTTAATAAATTTTTATTGATTTCAGAGAGGAAGGGAGAGGGAGAGAGCGAGAGAGAGAGAAACATCAATGATGAGAGAGAATCATTGATAAGTTGCTTCCCATACACCCCACACTGGGAATTGAGCCTGCAACCCGGGCATGTGCCCTTGACCAGAAATCAAACCATGGCCTCCTGGTTCATAAGCCAACGCTCAACCACCAAGCCACACTGGCCAGGCATAGCTGTCCCTGCTGTAAACTCTTGTCACACCCTGTCATTGGCTCTAATCCATGTCATCACCATATTTGTAATACAACAGTAATACATGATAGTGGCAAAGAGATTTAGGAATTGCAGAGGTGTTAAGTAAACCCTTTGATGACTCTTCAACTTCCTGTCTCCCTCATTAATCTACATATTTTCCATGAAATTATATGTTAATATTGGCAGGAAAAGTCTAGTCCCCACCTGGCCCCATCCATAGTAATTATAATGTTACTGACTATATTCCCCATGCCGTACTCCACATTCCCATGACTGTTTTTGCAACTATCAATTTGTACTTTTCTTTTGATACTCACCCCAGGATGTGTTCATTGATTTTTAGAGAGAGAGAAACATCAGTTGGGCGCATGCAGGAGGCAACTAATCGATGTGATACAGGATTAGTTGCCAGGACCCTCTCTCCCTCCCGCTCTAAAAATCAATGGAAAAAATACCCTCAGGTGAGGGTGAACCACGACGAAAGGAATAATTAGGCTGCACCCAACCATCTAACTCTCGCTCCCTCACTCTCTCCGGCAGATTTAAAGGCACACAGATCACCCTGGGTCTGCCTCATCTCTGGAAGACGCTGATCGTCAACCATAACATTAAACACCTGAACTTGGACAACATTCACCTGCAAGAGGAAGACATCGGGGTCGTGCAGGAAGCCTTAAAGCACCCCCACTGCTTGTTGGAGTCTTTGAGGTAAGTCCCGGGTCTGGTTCTCAACTTTTCTTTTTTAAATCTTCAACTCCAGGATATGTTTAGAGAGAGGAGGGGGGAGATCGAGAGAAAGAGAGAGAGAGATGAATGTGAGAAACATACATCGGCTGCCTCCCACACACCCTGCCCAGGGATCAAACTTACAAGCCAGGTACGTGCCCTGACCAGGAATCAAACCCACAACCCCAACCAACTGGAGCCACCCAGCCAGGGTGATTTTCACTTTTTTGTTGTTTGGGGTTGTTGTTTTTTTAATTTTCACCCAAGGAAATTTTTCCATTGATTTTTAGAGAGAGTGGAAGAGAGAGGGAAAGACAGAGAAACATCGATGTCGGAGAAACACATCGGTTGGTTGCCTCCTGCACGTACTCTGACCAGGGCCCTGGCCGGGGAGGAGTCTGCAACCGAGGTACGTGCCCTTAACCAGAATCGAACCCAGGACCCTTCGGTCCTCAGGCCAACGCTCTTATCCACTGAGCCGATCCAGCTGGGGCGGTTTTCGCTTTTTGATTGTATGGATTTATTTTATTTATTTATTTATTTTTTTTGATTGGTTTGCTTTTTCACTTTCTATGTTGAAATAATTATTCCTGGCGAGTTGCAAAAAGATGGCAACAGGTTGGAAGGTTGACGAAGTCCAGAAATAGATGGCAGGGACACGGTACAATGATGTGAATGGACTTAATGCCCTAGAACTGGGCACATAGAATGGTCAGGGTGGCCATTTTTATGTTGTGTATATTTTACCACAATACAAAAGTCACTTGTGATGTTTCATAAAGTTGGGGGAGGGGGGGGGATCACAGCGTGGCCAGTGTGGCTCAGTGGTTGAGCATTGACCTATGAACCAGGAGGTCACAGTTCGATTCCCGGTCAGGACACATGCCCAGCTTGTGAGCTCAATCCCCCATGGGGGGGGGGGGGGAGTGCGGGCATGCAAGAGGCCGCCGATCCATGATTCTCTCTCATCCTTTTTTTAAAATATATTTTATTGATATTTACAGAGAGGAAGGGAGCAGGATAGAGAGTTAGAAACATCGATGAGAGAGAAACATCGATCAGCTGCCTCCCGCACACCCCCTACTGGGGATGTGCCTGCAACCAAGATACATGCATTTGACCGGAATTGAACCTGGGACCTTTCAGTTCATAGGCCGACACTCTATCCACTGAGCCAAACCCATTAGGGCTCTCTCTCATCCTTGATGTGTCTATCCCTCTCTCCTCTCCCTTCCTCTCTGAAATCAATAAAAATATACTTTTTAAAAAATCAAAAATAATCACAGTGGTTAGAATGTGGGCCCCACGCACCAAAGGGTCTCAGGTTTGATTCTAGGTCAAGGGCATGTGCCTGGGTTGCAGGTTCCGTCCCCGGCCAGACTTGGAGGCCACAGCGGACAGTGTCCAGGGACCAGCGGAGAGGCCCAGGTGCTGGGGACAGACGGACAGACGGATGGACGAGGGTGTGTTTCACAAACCTCCTCTCTGTCTGCAGGTTGGATCACTGCGGGTTAACCGACTCCTGCTGCCCACTCATCTCCCAGATCCTGTTGGCCTCCCACAACCTGAGGTCCCTGAGCCTCGCGGGGAACAAGGTCGCGGACCAGGGCGTGGCGTCCCTCTGCGAGGCCCTGAAGGTCTCCCAGTGCGCCCTGCACAGGCTGATGTGAGCGGCTCTTCCTTTCATAGCCGGGTTGTCTTTGTCTTGTCTTAACCGAGGTCCTCCCAGTCATGGGGGACCGGGGTGGGGGGTTGGGGGACCGGGGTGGGGGGTTGGGATTGGCTTATGCATGCACCAAGGGTGAGAGCAGGCGCTGTGACCTCAATGTTGAGGCTGAAGAAAGACCCAATAAATAACATCTGTGTCTTTGCTGCAAAGGTCTGATCTGATAGAAAAGATTGAACAGAGCCCTGGCTGGTGTGGCTCTGGCTAGAGCGCTGACCTGCAGACTGAAGGGTCCCGGGTTCGATTCCCGTCAAGGGCACATGCCCTGGTCTGGAGGCGTGCAGGAGGCCGCCAGTCGATGTGTGTCTCTCATATCAATGTTTTTCTGTCTCCCCCCACCCCTGCCTTCCACTCTCTCTAAAAAGATCAATGGGAAAATATCCTCCGGTGAGGATTAACAAACAGAAGTGTGCAGCGTTATAATACAACGGCACATGCTCAGATTCTGTTTCCAGTTTGCATCTCACCCATGTCAAACCACTCACTGTGAAATGTTAACGTCAGGGTCATTAAAAATTACCTATCTGCATTTTTTAAATATAATTTTATTGATTTCGGAGAGGAAGGGAGAGACAGAGAGAGAGAGAGACATCAATGATGAGAGAGAATCATGGATCAGCTGCCTCCTGCGCGCCCCCCACTGGGGACCCAATCCACACCCCAGCATGTTCCCTTGACCAGAATCAAACCCAGGACCCTTCAGTCCGCAGGCCGACGCTATCCACTGAGCCAAACTAGCTAGGGCTATCTTCATTTTTTAAATTTTTATTGGTTTTGGACAGGAAAAGAGGGAGAGACAGAAACATCAATGATGAGAAAGAATCATGGATCGGCTGCCTCCTGATGCCCCCAACTGGGGATCCTGGCATGTTTCCTTAACCAGAATCAAACCCCGGACCCTTCAGTTTGCAGGGATGCTCTATCCACTGAGCCAAACCAGCCAGGGCTCCATCTGCATTAACAACAAACAGTTCCAACAAATTAAGACGAATTAGCCATGTCAAAAACTGGGCTTTTACGGAAATCTTCTATATATATTATATATATATATTATGTATATACATATATACATAATATATATACATATATGTACATACATATACATATATATACGTATATATGTGTATATGTATGTGTATGTGTATGTATGTATGTATATAAAAGCCTAATATGCAAAGTGTCCCCTCGGGAGTTTGACCGGGAGACTGGGAGTTCGAACGCTCACTATGGCATGAGCTGAACGCCAAGGGGGCAACGCAGAATGAAGGAAGACTCCGGCCGGCAGCCAGAAGACCCTGATCAGCCCTGATTGCCGGCCAGGCCTAGGGACCCTACCTGTGCACGAATTTTGTGCACTGTGCCTCTGGTGATGATATAAAATACAGCAGCCGGTTCTGTGTAGTTGGCTCTTGGCCATGTTTGTAGGAGTCCAGCACTTGCTCTTGGGGGGCGGGGGCGGGCACTGTCTCTCCTTGCAGACTGGGGAACTGCGGCCTCACGGCGGCCGCCTGCCAGCACCTGTCCGAGGTCCTCACCAGCAGCCAGAGCCTGACGCACCTGGACCTGTCGACCAACCCACTGGGAAAGGATGGCATGACGCTGCTGTGTCGCAGCTTGAAGTGCTTCACCTGCGCTGTTCAGAGGCTGATGTGAGTCCCCCTCGCTCCCCGTGAGGGTTCCGTGGCTCCCTGACCAAGGGTGTGGGCCCATCTCAGAGAACAGGGAGCAAAGGAAGGTCAGCGTCAGCCTGCTGACTGAAGGGGCCTGGGTTTGATTCTGGTCAAGGGCACCAGGCTGCTGGCCCTGGTCGGGAGCATGTGGGAGGCAACCAGTTGATGTGTCGCTCTCACATGGTTGTTTCTCTCTGTCTCTCCCTCTCGCTTCCACTCTCTCTGAAAATCAATGGGAAAAATATCCTGAAGATTAACAATAAAAGAGTCATAGCATACAGCAGGTGCATTAGACATCGTGTCAAGAACTTCAAGGTCATCTGACATTAACACCTAACAACCTTTTTTTTTTTAGTTTTTTAATTTAAATTCTTTATTGTTGAAAGTACAGCGGGGCCTTGACTTACGAGTTTAATTCGTTCCGTGATGGAGCTCGTAACTCAGATTACTCGTATGTCAAATCAAAAAGTGGACGAGTGAGACACGTGATGCTGGGCTGATGTTGTGGCGTTCACTGTGACGTTCACTGCACCAACTAGCGGTGGGGTATCTGAAGCTGGCTCGTAACCCGAATTTTAGCTCGCAACTCAAAGCAAAAAAATCGGCCAAGAGACGGCTTGTATCTCGAAAAACTCGTTAGTCGGGACACTCGTAAGTCAAGGCCCCGCTGTCTTGCATATGCCTCCTTTTCCCCCCATTGACCTCTCCCCGGCCACGTCCGCCCCCCAGCACAGGCCCTCACCCACTCCTGTCTGTGTCCATGGGTTATGCTTATCAGTCCTTTAGTTGAGCCCTAGCTGGTTTGGCTCAGTGGAAAGAGCATTGGCCTGTGGACTGAAAGGTCACAGGTTCGATTCTGGCCAAGGGCATAGGCCTGGATTTTGGGCTTGACTCCAGGTAGGGGGGCATGCAGGAGGCAGCCAATCAATGGTTCTTTCACATCATTGGTGTTTCTATATTTTTAAAAAAAATAAGTCCTTTAGTTGATCCCTTACCTGCCCCCCAACAGCCTTCCTAGATACTAGCGTAATCCCCTCCCAAACGAGGAGTACCCTGAGGCTGGGACAGACAGACGGCCGACCCGAGGTGCAGGGTCACGGCGTCGCGAGTGTGACCCTCCCTGTCCCTTGGCACGTGCCCTGCAGGCTCCGGGACTGCCACCTGGACGTTATTGGCTGTGGCTTTCTCTCCCTCGGACTCATGGGCAACCGCCATCTGACCCACCTGAGCCTCAGCATGAACCCCCTGGGGGACGACGGCGTGGACCTGCTGTGCGAGGTCCTGTTGGAAACCACCTTTCACCTCCAGGACCTGGAGTAAGTGTCCCGTGGGGGGGAGGGGAGGGGGTCACCTCTACCCACGTGGGGGCTGGGGTCCTAGAAAGTCAGGAGACAGGAGTTGGGGGATGAGCACAAGGTTAGCGTCGGGGTCCACGGAGCCACGTGCTCCCCACCGGACACTGTGGGGAAGTGGATGAGTTGGCGCTGCAGGGATCCACGGATTCTAGGTCCTCAGGCGTCTCCCAGAGCTGCCCACGTCTCAGAAGGCGTCCTCCTGCTCCAATTTAATCTTTACCTCTTTATCCTTTTATTTTTTCATTTTTCATTGATCTGAGAGAGATACACTGGTTTGTTGTTCCTCTTATTGAAGCATTCATTGGTTGAGTCTTATATGTGCCCTGACCGGGGATCGAACCCACGACTGTGGCGTATGAGGACGATGCTCTAACGCACTGAGCAGCCAGCCAGGGTGGGTCGGCCTACTTCTGCTGGCACAGAAACCGAAGCTGAGCCCATGGGAGATGCCATTCTGGGGGGATTGCATTGAAGTGCTCAGCGACGCAGGCATCAAAGACTTGGTCATTCTCAGCCCGGTGGCGTGGCTCAGTGGTTGAGCGTGGACCTATGAACCAGTAGGTCATGATTGAATTCCCAGTCGGGGCACAAGCCCGAGTTTCGAGCTCGATCCCCAGTGTGGGGCGTGCAGGAGGCAGCTGATCCATGATTCTCATCATTGATGTCTCTCTCTCGTCCTCGCTCTCTTTCTCTATCTCTCTCTCCCCCTCTCCCCTCTCCCCCTCTCCCTCTCTCCCCCTCCCCCCCCTCCCCCCTCCCCCTCTGCAGGCTAGTGAGATGTGGCCTCACCGCCGCCTGCTGCAGGAAGCTGTCCCTGGTGATCATGACCAACACGCACCTGAAGAGCCTGGATCTGGCGGCCAACGCCCTGGGGGACGACGGGGTGGCGGCCCTGTGCATGGGCCTACGGCTGAAGACGGCCTCGCTGCAGAGACTCGGGTGGGCTCCGGGGTCACGGCTCGGGGCGGGCGGAGGAAGGGGGCCACGCACGGGGTCGTTGGAGCAGAGACGCGCCCCGACTTTCAGGATTCCCTTCAGTCAGAACGCAATTCTGAACCCCAGGCGTCCTTTCATGGGTGCCCACAGGGCCAGGGCGAGGTGGCGAAGCCTTGGCGTACAGCGCACACGTCCAGCCAGAAAGGGGGGCGCAAAGGGCAGGGATGACCTGGGGGGCTCTCACCCTTAGAGGCAGCGGCAGAATCTCCCATGAGGCACGTACCTCGGTTGCAGGCTCCTCCCCAGGCCCGGCCCTGGTAGGGGCTCATGCAGGAGGCAACCAATCTGTTTCTCTCACTTGGATGTTTCTGTCTTTCCCTCTCTCTTCCACTCCCTAAAAATCAATGGAAAAATATCCTCCAGTGAGATTTTAAAAGTAGAAATAATAATTTTAAAAGGGTAAGAGGTCCTTCTTTTTCATACCTGGATAGTATTCCACAGCATACGTGTCCCCCAGCTTTTTTATCCACTCACTCCTCCACTGACGGGCACGTGGGCTGTTTCCAGATCTTCCCTATTGTAAATTGTGCTGCTATGAACATAGGGGCGTGTGCATTCTTTCTGTAGGAATGGAGTCCACTACTTTTTAAAAATATCTTATTGTTTACAGAGAGGAAGGGAGAGGGACAGAGAGTTAGAAACATCAATGAGAGAGAAACGTCGATCAGCCGCCTCCTGCACACCTCCTACTGGTGATGTGCCCGCAACCAAGGTACATGCCCTTGAGCGGAATCGAACCCAGGACCCTTCAGTCCGCAGGCCGTTGCTCTATCCACTGAGCCGAACCAGTTAGCGCTTTTTTTTAACTGTGAAAGTGGAAGTCAAAGGGGTTGAAGGAAGAAGGCGGGAGCATTGGTCTTGGGGTCACCCCTGGCGTGTCCGGCCTGTAGGTTGGAGGCGTGCGAACTGACGTCCGGCTGCTGCGAGGCCCTGGCCTCCGCGCTGCTCTGCAACCGCTACCTGCGCAGCCTGAACCTGCTGCGGAACAACCTCTGCCCCGAGGGCATCCGGGAGCTGTGCCGCGCCTTCGGGCGCCCCACCTCCAAACTGCAGGTCATCGGGTGAGTCCTGGCGGCTGTCCTCCCAGACACGCGGGGGGCAGAGTGTGGAAGCGGGGGGGGGGGGGGGGGGGTGGTCGCTGGGAGGGGAAGGTCGTGGCTAAGCCACCAGAACGTTATCCAACCATTAACGCCTCCTGTGTCCCAGGCCCTGTGCTGGGCGCTGGGATCAGGGATACGGAGCTAGAGGCCGGTGCCGGCTTCATGGGCTTAACTTGGGGGTGGGAAGACATCATACACATGAAATGTAGATCCTCAAAAAACTAAAAACATCCCTGGCCGGTTTGGCTCAGCGGTTAAGCGTCCGCATGTGGATTGAAGGGTCCCAGGTTCGATACCCGGTCAAGGGCACATGCCCGGGTTGTGGGCTTGATCCCCAGTGGGGAGCGTGCAAGAGGCAGCCGATCCATGATTCTCTCTCATCATTGATTTTCTTTTATTTTTTTTAAAATATATTTTATTGATTTTTTACAGAGAGGAAGGGAGAGAGAGAGTCAGAAACATCAATGAGAGAGAAACATCGATCAGCTGCCTCCTACACATCTCCTACTGGGGATGTGCCCGCAACCCAGGTACATGCCCTTTGACCGGAATCGAACCTGGAACCTTTCAGTCCGCAGGCCGACGCTCTATCCACTGAGCCAAACCGGTTCCGGCTCATCATTGATTTTCTATCTCTCTGTCCCTCTCATTTCCTTTCTGAAATCAACAAAAATATATTTTAAAAATAAAAATAAATAAAATCAGTAAACATATCCTCGGGTGAGGATTTTTAAAAAAGGGGGTTCAGCCCTAGCCTGTGTGGCTCCGTGGATAGATCGTCGGCCTGCAGACTGAAGGGTCCTGGTTCGATTCTGGTCAAGGGCTCCTCCCCAGCCAGGGCCCTGGTAGGACACGTGCAGGAGGCAACCAATCGATGTGTGTGTCTCCCATCGATGTTTCTCTTTACCTCTCTCTTAAAAAAATCAATGGGAAAATATCCTCCAGTGAGAATTTTAAAAGGGGAGGCGGGGGTGACAGGTGAGCTAAAGCAAAGCCCTGAGCCCCTGTCTGCCCCCTGTGCCCCCTGAGCCTTAGTTCCGCCCCCTGACCCCCGCCCCTCCCTGCAGGCTGTGGAAATGGCAGTACCCTGATCCGGTCATCAAGCTGCTGGACGAGGCTCAGCTCCGCAGGCCGCACATGGTGATCGACGGCCGCTGGTACGCCTCCGACGGAGAGGACGAAGGTGACCGGTACTGGTGGAGAAACTGAGGCCCAGACCCCTGCCCGCCCGCCTGCTCCGGCGGAGGAACCTGGAAAGCCGGCTGTCTCCTGAGGCCCCTGTGCCCCAGGATTCCTCCGCGGGGGTGGGCCCTGAGGTCCGCCGGTCCCAGAGCCCTCACCACGGGGATCCTGGGACCTCTGATCTATTGCGTCCGCCTCGGAGGTAGGACCCGAGTCGCTGGGCAGTGCCTGTCCTCCCTCTGAGCCTGCAGAGTGGATCCAATAAACACTGAGCATTTGGCAAACGTGTCCAGTGTCCTTCTTTATTCTTTTACTTTAATTTAAAAAAAAACAACTAAAAAAAACCCTGTTTTTTATTGATTCCAGAGAGGAAGGGAGAAGGAGAGAGAGAAACATCAATGATGAGAGCGAATCATGGATCAGCTGCCTCTGCACGCCCCCCACTGGGGATCCAGCCCACAACCCGGGCATGTGCCCTTGACCGGGAATTGAACCTGAGACCCTTCAGTCCGCAGGCCAACGCTCTATCCACTGAGCCAAACCAGGTAGGGCGACAGATTAATTTTAAAAGGCATTTGTCATTCACTGAGTATTCTCGAAGGATAATGTCGGGTGAGGAATGAGGACTCTGGGTATAAAAGTGTCTTGGGAAGTAACCTTTTCCACCAACTAGCTATTCCTTTTTTAAAAAATCTTATTTGTGACCAAACTATCTATCCCTGACCCAGATGCCCCTAGTATAGCCCCCATCTGTCATAATGATGTGAGCCATCAGAATGGTTCCTGCTTTGCAAGCTGGCCGCCACACCTGTTCTGTGAGCGGACGGACCAGGGTGGCTGTGGGCGTCTGGTTCAGACGTTTAAGTTCTGCTGCCTAGCACCTGGGGGAGACACCCTCCCCTGAGCCTCTGTTTCCTCATCTGTGAAACGGGGATAAGGCCTCTTAGGTGATGGAGGAAGCGGAAGCTGAGCTGTCACTCAGACCCCGCAGTGGGCTCTGTCCACGGTGCTGAAGGGTTCGCCCTGGAGGCACGGTGGGGGGCTGGGGGGGGGGGCGGGGAGTGGTTCTTGGGCAGGCTTTGTCCACACCAGCAGGAGAGGAGGCAAGATGGAGGAGGCCAGAAACACCCCCTCTCACCCACAGCCTCTTTGTGAGGTAAGCGGAAGGAAAATGATGAGTGGATTATAACACACACACACACACACACAAAGATGCATATAGTTGCCCAGCCAGCGTGGCTCAGTGGTTGAGCAGGAGGTCACGGTTGAATTCCCAGTCAGGGCACATGCCCGGGTTGCAGGCTCAATTCCCAGTGTGGGGAGTGCAGGAGGCAGGCGATCGAGGAATCTCATCATTGGCACTTCTCTCTCTCTCCCACTCTCTTCCTCTCTGAAATCAAGAAAAATATTTTTGTTAAAAGATGCATATAGCTGTTCCTCAGTAGCATGGGGGATTGGTCCCCGGACCTCCAGTGGATACCAGAATCCGTGGATGCTCCAGCCCTTATGTAACATGATGTGGCACAGTGGCCGGCAAACCCATTAGTCAACAGACCCAAATATCAACAGTACAACGATCGAAATTTCTTTTGAGAGCCAAATTGTTTAAACTTAAACTATATAGGTAGGTACATTGTTATTAACTTAATTAGGGTCCTCCTAAGGCTTAGGAAGAGCCACACTCAAGGGGCCAAAGAGCCGCATGTGGCTCTTGAGCTGCAGTTTTCCGACCACAGATGTGGTACGTATGTGCATGGAACCTGTAGTTGCCTTCCTCAGTCGCAATGTATGTAGAGTGTTTATCCCAGAGGCCACCCCCTTGGCCCCCAGAACCAACTCTACCAATTGGAAGAGACTCACAAAGTGGGTTGGGCCTGCAAGTTGCAAAGACCCCTGTTCGGGGGTCCTGGTACCAAGAGCCATCGGCACCCCTGCCTCTGGCTGGGGGGTGTCTGACGCTGAAGGACACACACACCACACACACCTCCAGCCAAGTGTCTCGTTCAATACGAATCCCCAGTGACGCCAGATTAACTGTCCCGAGAAGCCAGAAGCCAGATTGTTGTTAGTCCTCACCTGACGATATTTTTTCATTGATTTTTAGAAAGAGGAAGAGTGTGGGGGGGAGACAGAAACATCAAAGTGAGGGAGACACATAGATTGGTTGCCTCCGGCACAGTCTCCACCCCCAATACATGCAATCAAGGTAAGTGCCTTGACCAGGAATCGACCCTGGGACCCTGCGACCCTTGGATAGGTGGGCCAAAGCTCTAACCACTGAGATACCGGCCAAGGCCCACCCCTCCCCCCTTTAAAGTGACCTGAGTTTTCAAAATAAACCCATTCCAAGCAGGTGATGGCCCTCGAAAACCTGCCTTTCTGACCGACAATCACGCACAGGACGGCCTCATGCGTCCGGGAGAGCCACACCCCTTCGCCAGGTGGCGGGCTGCACGTGGTTTTGAGCCTCTGGGTCTCCACACCTGAGGCGGGGGTCGGGGCGGGGGGGGGTGGGGGGGGGGCCGAGGGCGGAGTGATCTGCTCCAGGGAAGCAGGGCCCCGTCTGGTAGATTAGGGCTCAACCCGGAAACTTCGCTTCCTCCTCCTCCAGCCCCTCCTCTGCCGCCAACCCCTCTCCTCCGCTGTAGTAGCGGGGGCACGGAGCCCTCCCTCCCCATCCCCAACCCCGGCCGCCTCTGCACAGCCTCCGCCGTCCAGCCCGGCTGCAAACGCCCTGGCAGGGCTCTCCCCCCCTACTCCCCTCCCCACGACAGAGCAGCCCGCGGCCGCCTCCCAAATCCTAGGGACGGGGGTCCCCAGGACCCTGGCCGTGGGTTCCGGGAACCGGGAGGGCATCAGAGGGCCCACCCTGACGAGCCCCCCACCCAGCAGCCCTCCGCTGCAGGACTGGCCGCTACAGCGACTGGGGGGACCCGGTCAGGCCCTGGACAACAGGCGCCGGGACCCCGTGCTGCGCCCGGCCGCCTCCCGGCTGGTTGGCCCCTGCAGACCGTAACTTCCCGCAGGCCCCTGTTCTGCTCCCAGGGTCGCTCTGAGGCTGGGAAGTGGCCGCCTTCTGCCCCCGTCGGGGGACGTGAGGAGGGAGAAGGGTGCGTTTCTGGCCAGTCCTCCGGAAGCCGACCCGGGAGGTCCACGGGGCGCCGGGAAGCTGACGGGGGCGTGGTGCGGGCCCTTCGCCCCGCGGAGATGAAGCCACCTGCCCCCGCTCAGGAGTGAGCACGACCCATGTGTCCACTTTAGAAAGCAGCAGTGGCCCTGGCCCGTGCGGCTCAGTGGATGGAGCCTCGGCCTGGGGAATGAAGGGGCCCGGGTTCGATGCGGGTCAAGGGGAGGGGGACGTTCCTTGGTTCAGGCTCTTCCCCGGCCCTTCGGGCGCGAGCAGGAGACAGCCAAGCCATGTTTTCCTCTCACACCCGTTTCCCTCTCTTCCACTCTCCCAGAAGATCAATGAAAAAATTGTCCTCGGGCGACAATTAACCAAACAACAAAGCAGCAGTCAGCTCCCGTCCCTCACGAGCCTGGGAGGTCCGCAGCCACCGCAGGTGCCCGGGCCGGGTCCCTCTCTAGGAAAACAGCGCAGCCCGCACCCAGGTGGTTCCGCACGGTCTCCGCGGGCAGCTCCCAGGCGGCTGCCCCTGCCCACACCCCGGCCCCGGCGCAGGGCCCCTGCTCAGCCTCTCCTCCTCCCTCTCCCTCAAGAACCACGCACAGCAGAAGTCGGATAGTGCCATTTATTGGCCCTGCACCCCTCCTCCACGCGCCCAGGCCGCGGAACAGGACGGTTCTCCGAGGGGCCCCTCTGCTCCGCACTCCAGCGCCCCCGACCCAGGACGGGGAGGGCGGGCTCGGGCGAGAAAGAGGACGGGGCCCGCGGGAGGGGAGAAAATAATGGTGACGGGGTGGGGTGGGTACAATTAAAAGAAAACTCTAAAAGGGAGAAGGACCCCTCTTTCCCTTCCCTGGGCCCCCCTCCAAAAGGAAGGGCCCGATTGCTCTCGGCTCTGTCACGCCCCCGACGGAGGGGAAGAGAAAGCGGGCACTGGTCTCGCGGGTGGGTTTGTCGTCGCTTGGTCGCTAGTTCACATCGTCTATCTCGGGCTCGGCCGAGAGCCTACAGGGGGCAGCAAGGTCCGCGCTCGGGCGCGGGGAGGGCGCAGCGGGCAAGGTGGCGAGGGGAGCACCCGGCGCCCCTCCCCAGGCCATTGCGCCCCGGGACGGGCCCGGGAGGGAGGTCGCTGCGGGTCCGGGCCCCTCGGTCCATTTTCTCCCCGGGTCTCTGGGTCCTGCGCCGTCGCTCCCGCCGAGCCCGAGGGGCCCTGCCCCCCCGGGCCCCCACCCCTACCGGGCCTCCCCGCCGCGGCACTCGCTGCACCGGCCGCCCGCTGCCTCGTCCCCGTCGTCCTCCTCTTCCCCGCCGGCGCGGTAGTAGCTCTGTCCGCAGCGGCTGCAGACGGAGGGCGCGCCCACCGCGTGGACCTTCTTGTGTCTGCGCAGCGCCGCGCCCTGCACGAAGCCCTCGCCGCACTCCACGCAGATGTGCGCGGGCTCCTCGCCGCCCGCCCCGAGCGCGTCCTCGTGCTGGGCGCGCTGGTGCGCCAGGAGCGCGGCCGCCTGCCCGAAGCCCTGGCCGCACTCCACGCACACGTACGGCTTGGGGGCGGGCGCGCGCCGGGAGCGGGGCCCCGGCGCCTTGGCCCCCGCGCCCGCCGCCGCCGCCCCCGCCGCGCCCTCCCCCGCCGCGCCCACCACGATGATGCCGTCGCCGTCGCCCACCGGGATGGCGATCTCGCCGTCCGCCGCCGCCGCCTCGTCGGGCGCCTTGGCCCGGCGCACGCTGGCCGCCAGCACCTTGGCCGCCACGCCGGGGCCCGACAGCTCGGGGTGCAGCCGCAGGTGGCGCGCCAGGCTCTTGGGCTGGCTGAAGCCGCGGCCGCAGCGCGGGCACACGAAGGGCTTGAGGCCGCTGTGCGAGCGCCGGTGCTTGGCCAGGCTCTTGCTCTGCGTGAAGCTGCGGCCGCAGTCGGGGCAGGCGTAGGGCTTCTCGCCCGTGTGGATGCGCTGGTGCTGCATGAGGTTGGAGCTCCAGCTGAAGCGCTTGCCGCACTCGGAGCAGGCGTAGGGCTTCTCGCCCGTGTGGATGCGCCGGTGCTGCACCAGGTGCGAGCTCTGCGAGAAGGTCTTGCCGCAGTCGGTGCAGGCGTTGGGCCGCTCGCCCGTGTGCGTGCGTTGGTGCCGCGTCAGCTTGGACCAGTGGCTGAAGCTCTTGCCGCACTCGTTGCAGATGTAGGGCGCCGGCGGGCGCGGCCGGGGCGGGGGGCCGGCCGGGGGCGCCGAAGGGGGCGGGGACAGCTTGGTGGGGGGCCAGGTGGGCACGTCGTCATCGTCCATGATGAGGATGTCCACTGGAAGACAAGAGTGGGAGGGGGAGTCAGAGACCAGCTCGGGCAGGACCTTCAGCATCAGCGCACAGGCGGGCCAGGGTGTTGTACCCCGCGGATCACATAAGGAAGCCCCAAGAAGTGGAATGAAAGGAGCCACATTTATTTCAAAGCCGGGACTAGGGGCAATTGCTCTCCAAATCTCGCAGTGCCCCCTTGGCCGAAACATCAGACTGATATAGGCAAATAGCACAAAGGCATTGATTACCTCTTGGGGTTTGGAATGAGGAACCTGGTTTGCAAAAAGCTTAGATTTACAGAAGCTTAGATTGAGCAAGTTAGTTATCTTACATGGATTAATTATAGTTTCGGGTCTTAGGACCACTGAGTCAGCGGAAACACATTATCTGGAGCCGCTGAGCCATTTAGAGTAATTGTGCTGTCCTGGTCTCCAGGTGCAGAGGAACGTGTTTCGAAAGACCAGTAAGATCACAATCGATGGGGGTATTCAAACCACAATCAATGGAGTATTCGATCGAATGGGATAACGTATATAAGTTCAGAAAATCAAAATAATTTTTCTATTATTTTAGCAAGCAGATAATTACAGAAACCAAGTCAGCAGGGTTAAAATATTAAACAGCAATTTTTACCCAAGCATGGTTGCCACCACGTTTTAAGGGCAGGGCTTCAACCCGCCCTCCTGCCTGCCCCCTGCACGGCTCTGACCTCTGGGCTTTGTCAGCGCACCCCCTTTCCCCCCACCACACACATGCACACACACGCACCTCTGCCCACTCCAGCACCACACAGACGGGCACCAAGCTCTCAACACTGTCCCTGAGCTCCCGCTGGCGAACCTGGGAGGACTGATGTGTGGACGCCAGCACCGCAGGCTGTGGCTGCTGGCTTATCCCCGCCAACTCTATCGGGGGCTCACAGGGACACCTTCGTACCTAAGACATGTTGTCAGTGTGTCCCAGGCAGATGGGCTTGCCATGTGGGGCCCAGACACGCACCCTAGGGGGCCTCTCAGTGAGCTGCCCAGTCGCCAGAGCTCCCTCCCCTGTAGGTGATGTCATCCTCCCCCCTCAGTGTTGGGACCCTCTGTATTTCTATGCATTTTGGGGGTCGCTTCCATCTCGCACACGTGGGACCTGTAGTTAAAGGCCCAAGATGGACCTGGATGGCTGTCACCCTGTCGCTGGCCGGCTCACACCCCTCACATCCCACCCTGGGAACTCCAGGCGGGGGCCACCCGGACCGCGGCCAGGGCAGCAGGCAGGGGAGCCAGCCAGCCCGGGGCGTGGTCTGCCCCAGATCCCGTGTTCACTGTGAGATGGTGCGCCACCTGCGGTGAGGCCTGTGCTGACCCCAGCACCTCAGCAGCGCCCCCCCAGGAGGGAGGGAGAATCCGTGATGACAGCCGGGAGTTGGTGCAGCGCGGGCACTGCCAGGGCACCAGCTCAGGAGCCTGGACACCCTGCCGGCGGATGTCCAACACAGGAAATGATACATTTTCTTCTTCTTTTTTTAATCCTCACCCGAGGATATTTTCCCATTGATTCTTAGGGAGAGTGGAAGAGGGAGGGAAAGACACAAGATACATTGATGTGAGAGACACACATGGATGGGTTGGCTCCTGCATGAGCCCTGATAAGGGCTCTGGCCGGGGAGGAGCCTGCAACTGAGGTACGTGCCCTTGACCAGATTCGAATCCGGGACCCTTCGGTCCGCAGGCCGCTGCTCTGTCCACTGGGCAACACCGGCCAGGGTGTGGTAACATTTCTGAGGTTCCCCCAACGCCCTGGTGTCTTCGCCCTTGACTGGGCAGCACAGCGGAGCGGCGAGGTCAGGGACCGACCAACAGCGGGGCGCTGGCCTGGGGATGAATGGCAGGTGGGAGGCCTGCTCCCGGGAACTTGAGTTCAGTCCCACGTAGACACGCGGGGCTGGGAGTGTGCGGCCGGAAGTGACCATGGAAACGACTTCAGGCCTTGACGACGGTAGAACTCGCTGTGGGGTCCACAGCCCCCGGCAGGGCGGAGGCAGCCAGGCCCCGGTGAGTGTCCCTCCGCCTCTCGAGCCGCTTCTCCGCGGGGTGGGGACGGGCTGGAACCTCTTCTTCAGACGCCGGGTCCTGAAGCCCGACCTCCTGGTCCGCACCGGGGCCCAGGGCACCGGGTCTGTGAAGCCACTGCCTCAGGGAGGGAGTCTTTCACCCGGGACGACCTGGGGAAAGGCTGCCCATGGCTCCTCCTCCACGGGGTGGGGGCTGGGAGGGCTGTCCCAGGCTCGGCCTGCCCCGAGGGCCCCAGGCAGCTCCCAGCCCCAGGAGCCCGGACGCTGTTCTCCTGGTGGAGGGCGCTCGGGCTGCCGGTCAGTCCCCTTCCCCCGCCAGGAGCCCCAGCAGGGCCTGAGCCTGAACAAGCCAGTCTCCGCGACTCCGAGGCCACGTCCCTGTCGGGGAGACTCACGCTGAGGGCTGCAGGGCCGCCAGGAAGTAGGCTCCCTCCCACGCCCGCCTGCCCTTCCTCCGGTTCCGGTGGCCTCCCGGGGCGATGGCTGGGCCAGGCTCATCTCAGGGCCCATGGCAGCCGCTGGATCGCACAGCAGTGGCCGAGTTAACCACTGGCACCGCCCTCCGGCCTGCTGCCCAGGCCATTCCAGTCCTTTGGCGGAGCCACTCTTGGGGGGTCCCCCAGGTCCCGCCTCGCTGCCTCCTGTCTTCCCTCCACTCTCCCCGGGACCTTTGCTCCCCGCAGCACTGTCCTCCGCCGGTCACGCCCGGCATGTGCTTCGGCGGGCAGCCCTTCTTTGGCGAGGCCCGTGCTGGGCGAGGCGCCTCCAGAGGCTGACTGTGCGGAATCCGTGTGTGACGCTGAACAAGTTAGGGCTCCCGTCTGCGCTGCGGACGCGTCCGTGCTGGGGTCCCGTGCCAGGGGGGTCACAGGCCAGTGAGCGGTGCAGGGCATGGGCACCCCTCCAGATGAGCCAGGACCTGGCTCCATTTCAAGAGGCTCGCGCTGGCAGCTGTGGAGGCAGGGATGGTGGGGCGGTCGGTGCAGCCATTGATCCTGGTGTTGAGACGCACGGTTGGGGCCCAGCAGGCCCGACGGCCTCATGCAGGAGAGACGCACGGAGTCCAGTGTCCGGCGGGGAGGGGCGCAGGGCGACTCCTGGGCTGGCACCGCCCACTTTCTCTTCGGAGCGGTCTGACCTCCTCAGAGCTCTGCTGAGCGGTCCGACCTCCTCAGAGCTCTGCCGGGGCCTTGGCACCGCCCCCATCGTCCAGATCCTCTCTGCCCATTAGGGCTCAGCGCCCCCTCACTGCTCCTCCTCCGCACAGGCCGTCCTTCTCCCCCTCGGTCACTCCTCTGTGGGCAGCCGGCAGAGGACCGGCCGGAGGTACTGGGGCGCCTCAGGGCCAGACGGCTCCTTGTGTTGGGAAGAGAGCCCCGCAGGCGGGCCTGCTGCCTGGGGGTGCCCACTCACCTTTCCATGGGGGCCGCCCCGCCTGCCATGCGCCGACCCGCCCCAGGCCCCACGTCCCTCACCGACAGGCCAGCGGGAGAAAGACCTCGTGGGCCTGAGCCCAGCACCGTCCGTCACAGGCGGCCCGAGCTCAGCCGACGCAGGGACGCAGCCAGGCCGCAGGGCCTATTGGTGCGCCAGGGGCGGCCCCCAGAGAGGTTTCCAACAGGGGGTGACGGGGTGACGGCATGACCGTGGGGCAGCCAGCTGGACAGGGGGCGAGGCCCGCCTCGGAGGTTGTCTGAAGAAGGTGACCGGCAACCTTAGAACTAAACTCCCCTGACTCCCCGGCGCACGCGCATGTTGGAGGGAGACAACCTGGGACCCTGGACCCGGACTGGGTGCTGGATGGCAGCAGGAGTGGCAGGTCATGGGAGACACACGGTTGTAGCCGGGTGGGGGGTCTTGTTTGGGTTTTAGTCCTGATCTGCTGGGGAATGTGTAGGCGGAGTGAGATAATGTGGGGGTTTAAAATGCCGCAGGACGTCGTAACGGGTGTGGCTCAGTGGATAGAGCGTGGGCCTGCGGACTGAAGGGCCCCAGGTTCGATTCCGGTCAAGGGCATGGACCGTGGTTGCAGGCACATCCCCAGGAGGGGGCGTGCAGGAGGCAGCTGATCGATGTTTCTCTCTCATCGATGTTTCTCACTCTCTATCCCTCTCCCTTCCTCTCTGTAAAAAGTCAATAAAATATTTTTTTTTTTTAAAGCTTAAAAATAAATAAATAAATAAATAAAATGCCGCAGGCAAACACGAACCCACACCCCCAGGGCGGCTGGTGGGGCGACGCGGAGCCGTCACCGTGTGGAACTGCCTCCATGAACCAGACCCGCCAGCTAATGTTTAAAGGGCACGGAGGCCACGCGCGTGTGGCAGGGAGGCGGGCGGCGGCCCAGGGAACCGGGGCGATGGGGCGGCCCCCCTCCGTCGGGTGCGGGAGGGGCTGTCGGCCCGCTCACCCCCCGGGGACCAGTCCTGGGGCGCCGACAGCGCCTCCGTGTGGAGGACGTTTTAGAGACGAGGCGGCCGCTCACTTCCGCTACGGCGCGGGCGGGGCGGGGCCTGGAGAACCGGAAGTGCTTCCGCTCAGGCCCTTTACGCAGCGTCTGCGACCACGTGGCGGCGAGGTCCTGGCTCGAAGCCGCCCCGGCCGAGGTGGAAGCCCGGGACGGGAACACGCTGCCTCCTTGGGGTGAGTTTTACTGAACCCGGACCATGTCTGACTGAGCGACACCCGTTTCCGCGTTTGAAGGGCGAGATCTCACCTGGGAACCCCGATGCCCAGCGCTCCCCGCGGCAGGCTCCCCCAGCCCGTCCCGCCCGTCTCCCAGCACCGGCGCTGGGTTGGCCGCCCCCGGCCTAGTTTCCTGCCCGGGGAAACCGAGGGCCACAGAGACGGGGCAGGCCCAGGGCTCTGGGGGAGCAGGGGCGGCCCGGGCCCCTGGGTGCTGGGGAGCGGCCTGTGGCCTTCGGGGAAGGACGCCTACCGAGGGGCGGGGAGGCGGCCTGTCGGGGTCCGCCCAGGCGGGGTTACGGTGCTTACGGTGCGGGGCCTCCGGAGGGAGGCTGGGTGATCCCAGGGAGCCCAGGAGGGGTCAGGGCGAGGGCGCGGGTCAGCTGACCGCCGGCCGCCTCACCTGGGTTCTCGTGACTGGCCATCTGCTGGTCCTCGGAATCCAGCGGCCCCGGAGACCAGGCCTCTTCCCGCAGCTCCATGTGTGGGTCCCTGTCGGGAGGGAGGGAACAGGACAGCTCACCGGAGGGCAGGGGCGCTCGGCTCCCACCCGCGCTTGAGCTGAGGCCCCGCATGGCCCTGCGGACAGCGGGACGGTGGGGACCGCCCAGGCTGCAGCCGTCCAGAACCCCCGGCCTCCTTTCCCACGCGTGCGGAGACTTGCGGACACGCGGCCCCCGCCCTTCCCCGCACTCTCAGGTACGGAACCCCGCAGGGCCAGGAGGCCTGGCCTGCAGGAGAAGCGGTGCGAAGGGGGCACCGTCACACCGTTTAGCAGATGCCGAAGCTGAAGCCAGCACACCGGCCGAGGCGGGGCCGCGAGGTCACCCGGTGGGTGGGGGCTTAGGACGGGGGCTCAGGCCTCAGAGGGAGACTTGCCCGCCTGCAACAATCTTCCCCTGGGCCGCGGGCTGTTCCTTCCTCAGAGACACCCCTCCCCCCTCCTAGTGGCCCTGTGACCACTGGGTGCCCAGCACCTGCAACAGGCTGCCCGGCAGTGAAACCGACACGGCCCACGTGACCCGGCCCATCGAGGTGGCCCCTGGCCGGTGACCGCTCCTCCGGCTCAACACAAACTTCTTGCACCAAAAAAGGTCATCACAGCGAGATTCCGATCAGGGAAAACTGGAAGGAACCGGAGCCCCGTGGGCGGGCAGTGAGGGCAGCAGGGGGCGCCCACAGGTGGCACCGCCGGGAAGCAGCTGCCCTGCTGATGACAGGAGAGCGACTGTAACCTTTTCCTGAAACCTTCCTTTCCCAGTCGTTTACAGTAAGGGATGGAGGGCCTCTGTGCTGAGGGGAGACTGCAAGTGGGTGTCCTGGTGGCCACGAGGGCTGTGTGTGACATGGGAGGGCGCAGGGGCCGCCTGGCCGGCGTGGCGCAGAGGTTGCGCCTCGGTTCAGTTCCTGGTCAGGGCGCATGCCGGGGCTGTGGGCTCCATCCCCAGAGGGGAGCGTGAGGGGGCAGCCGATCACTGGTTCTCGTCATTGATGTTTCTACCTCCCTCTTCCTTCTTCTCTAGAATCAACGAAAATATATTTAAAAGTAATAATCTTGGGCACTCGGGCCACACCTGGTAGACACGGGCACCCACAGGGGCCCACGCCGGTCGCCCCGCAGCCGCTGTGGGAACGGCCTGGCGGGTCCTTGGGGGGGAAGCAGTTACCAGGGGAGTCTGCGGCTCTGCCCCAGGGGTGCCCTGGCTCTGCCCCAGGGGTGCCCGCGCTGCCAGGGCAGTGCTGCTCCTAACATCGGCCGGAAACCAGAGGACCCAGAGGCGGGCGAGAGGGGCAGCCACCAAGGGCCGCCCGGGTGTCCAGGACAGAGCGGCTGGCACTCGGGTATCTCTGGCAGGAGGGCTGCTCGCTGTGTGTGAACGACAGGGAACTGCACGTGTTGGTAAAGGGGAATGTTGCAGCGTGCATGGCCCAGTTAAAAAGCGGGTAGGCTTTAAACAGTTGCGTGGCCTTCTGTTTACACCGTCAACATTAAACATGCGGAAAAGAATGAATAGGAAGCTGCCGGGCATGTGTGGGTGGCGGTGGCGGTGGGCGGGAGAGGCTGCTGCTCTGCCTTCCTGGCCAAACTCGTTTGCCAGGGGCTCCGGTGCTGCCTGGAGTAGCCGGGTTCGCAGCCAGAGGGGGACTTGCCGCCGAGCCTCCAGCGGGGGCAGCAGGCGTCCTCTCCCTCCAGGGGAGTCGGGGGCCGTCCTGGGCTAAGCAGTCCGGGACGGTGGTCCTGTCTGCAGCGGTCAAGGTCGGCACCTAAGACCCCCACGCGCCCCGCAGGTGCTTACAGCCAGGAGCCCACTGCCAGGGCACAGCAGAGACCAACACGGAAACGCCACGCACATGGTTTCCATGCGGGAGAGCCAGGAAGACAGTGAGGGGGGGACGAAGCAGGAGGGCTGGTCTCGAGAAAAAAATCTGCCCTGAACAGTCCACTCGGCTGGTTAATCTTGACTTCAAGGCCACAGCAGGTACAACAAGTGCTCAGCCCTTCTTCCTGGAGCAGCTCTCCCCTCCCCTCCCCTCCCCTTCCCACCCCCACCCGGGGAGAGTGCCGCTGTGCAGGAGGAAGTCTTATCTCTGGCGGCAGGGAGGCCGGCGGAGGGAGAAATCTGTGCAGACTGTGGTCACAGGACCTCTTCCCCTGTGTCCCAGTCCCCTGCCGCCCTGCGGCTCCAGCCCGGCCCGGCCTCCCGGCCATGGAAACAGTTCTCAGGCTCCTGTTACCTGAGTCCTCCCAGCTGGAAACCCTAAGAGCCTGCAAGGCAGGGGACCTTGCTCCCTGCAGACAGCGGGGAGGCGACCGGGACTGGCGGGTGGGGGTGGGGCCTGTGCCTCTCAGGGACCTGCATGCACTGGGCCTCAGCCCGCAGGTGCCTGCCGAGCCGCACGTGAGGACCAGGAGGGTGCCAGCTGCGAGGGTCCTGGGGAGCCTCAAGGGCATGCAGCCCTGGCTGCTGGAGGGTCGGACTGAAGGGTCCCAGTTCGATTCCGGTCAAGGGTACATGCCCAGGTTGTGGGCAGGGGGCAGCGGATCAGTGATTCTCTGCCATCATTGATGTTCCTATCTCTCTCTCCCTTCCTCTCTGTAGTCAGTAAAAATATATTTTTAAAGAAACTACTGAAGATTGCACGTAACACTTAAATAAGGGGCATTCCCTGCAGGTGACGCAGGTCCTTCCTCGCCCGCCTGCTCAGTCCCTTACTCACTCACACAGCTGCTGAGCCTCTGGTCCTGCCCCCTCCCCCCGGGGTGACTGCACAGTCGAGAAACCAGGGCCGTGGCCTGGGCAGCCCCAAACCACTAGCAGGGCCCACAGCGCGGAGGGCAATGCGGAGCCAGCCTGACCCTGGAATGGGACAACTTCTGAGGCTGCAAGGGGGCTCCTGTCCTGCTCAGCCTCCCACCCAGCTCCCCCAGTTCTCAGCTGGAAGCTCAAAGCCCCCCACAGTCCCCGCTCCCCAGCCACCCCGGGCTGGCTGGGCCCTGGGGCGACCCAATTAGCAGGCAGAGCTGTGGGGCCCGGGGCTGGTAAGCTGCAGACAAATTACTGTTATTGTGTTATTAGCTCCCTCCCACCTCCCTGGAAGCCTGCCCGCCAATTACCCGCTTTCTTCTGCTGCCAGCCTCCTCCCTGCAGCCTCCTGGCTTCTCCTCCTCCCCTGGCAGGAAACGCTGCCCCCCACTGTCTGCTCTCTGCCCCAGACCCGCTCTCATGTACCTGCTGGCTTTCTCCCCACCCCCTGCTTCCCCTCCATCTCCTCCCCTGACCTCCCGGCCACTCCCTAACCACTGCCCCCTCCCACCCTCTGGTCACCAAATCCAGTGGCTACTTCTCAGCCTTGACGCCCACCCTGCAGTCACGTGCATGTGTGCTCCCCTTACCCCCCTCCACCTCACACCACAGACGAACACATCTTTGTAAGTCACTCCTTCCAAACAAACGTTAAAAAGGGGCCGGGCCAGCCTGGCTCAGTGGTTGAGCATCGACCTATGAACCAGGCCACGGTTTGATTCCCCGTCAGGGCACAGGCCCAGGTTGCGGGCTCCATCCCCAGTGTGGGGCGTGCAAGAGGCAGCCGATCCATGGTCCTCTCTCATCACTGATGTTTCTATCCCTCTCTCCCTCTCCCTCCCTCTCTGAAATTAATAAAAGTATATATTTCTTAAAGGCAAAGGATCAGAACAGCCATGTCTCCAAAGAGAACGTGCCCGGGGCTGCCAGGCAGGTGACAAGATGCCCAACGTCGCCGCCACGGGGACCCACGTGCACATGAAGCCGGTGCGGGCCGCACGCTGCTGGTGGGCACGAGAGCAGCGACAGGTGGGCCGGACGGGGTGCAGGAGCCGTGCACTGCGGGGGGACCGTGGGACCCGCAAACCACTTCTGCCCCCCCCCCAGAAATGACAGGTCCACACCACACAGCACACGCCCCACAGAGGCAGGGTCACAGGGCCCGAGTGCCCACAGCAGACAGCGGACGGACACCTGCGGCTCCTCCGCGGCCCTCCCACAGGAGGCGGGGCCATGTGCTCCCCGAAACACTGGCCCAGCGAACAAGTGCGAGTCCGTGGACGCGCGCCCACACAGGCAGTTGGGGGACCACAGGAGGCCCCCAGAGCGCTGTGCTGACAGACACCCCCCAGCCGACACCAACAGCCCTGAGCGGGCAGCGTGGGAATCCCCTCGGCACGCTGGGTTTTACAGGCGGCTCAGGTCACGTCACCCCGCCTCACCCAGCCCCCCGCACGTGCCCTGCACCGACTCCAACACCTGTCCCCCCGGCAACGCACTGCCCTCGCCCCTCACTCCCAGCCCACCGCGCCTCTGGAAAGCCTGCCAGTCCCCCACCGCGGCCTGCCGGCTCACCTTTCCAGGGTGAGCTGGGTCCCCGCCCCAGGCGCCTGCCCCAGATCACATCGCAGGCCTCCCCCTCCCCCAGCGTCCACAGGTGCTTCCTCCAGGCTGCTGCCCACAGCTGCTGACTCAGCGCCGCCTCGGACCCTCACACCGACTGCAGCCGCGGTCACTCCTGGGCCACAGGCCGCAGTGGGAAGCCCCACAGCACGAGCCTGCCCCCACTTCCCTTTTGTGTGAGCTCTTTGCCCCTCCCTCTGGGCCCCAAACCTGGTGCCCCCCCCCCCCCCTGCGGCCAGAGCATCCCCGCCCCCAGCAGGGTCTGTACAGAGTCCCCCCGCCTGGGCGGGTGGGAGATTAGTCCCAGCTGTGACCTGCGCCTCCCTCGGTCCCAGGGTGGGTGACAGAGCTGACAAGGCAGGCCCCGCTCCTCCTTGCTCTCGCCTGAGCAGGTGCCTCTGGGAGCCTCACTGCTTTATTCCTCCCCCCTCACCACCTGGCCTCCAGGCCTCCCAGACTCACACCTCGCTGCCAGCCACCGTCTGTCCTCGGCAGCTCCCCAGGGCGCACACTGGGCCGCACACTCCCTTTCTGCAGAGACGGAGAAGTTCTAGAACTCCTAGAACCTTGACCTGCGGCAGGCCCACCTGGGAGTGGCAGGGACACAGCCCTGGCCACCTGCTGCCAACCAGCATTTCCAGATTTTAAAAGTTGGTGAGTAACTGAAAATTGTTTTAACAAAGACGCTCTGCAGGCCAAAACCCTGGAGCACCCCGGCCACCTGTGCTGTCGCCCCTCTCCGGCCGGCCTAGCCTGGGGGGGGGGGGGGGGGCGGCGGCACTCTCCGGCCCTGGCCTTTCTTGCAGGCGCTTCCAGGGTTGCTGCCAGGCCCACGACAACAGCACCTCCCCCAGGAAGCCTGCCCTCAGCTCACTGTCCTGCCTCTCAAACAGCAGAACGAACGTTCACCAGGCACAGGCCCCCTGAAGACCCCAGGCGCGGGGTGTGTGGGCACGATGTGCTGTGGGCACCATAGCCTGATCCCCAACCACCCGGGGAGAGGAGGACAAGCTGCGGCAGGCTGCCGGGCCGGGCTCGCCGCCCCCCCCCACGTGACCTTGGCGTCAGGATCAGTGAGTGGAGGTGTGAGGTGCCCCTGAGCCAGGCACTTGGTGAGGGCCCAGTACTGCTGACGGAGCTCAGACAAGAGGGCAGTGGCCAGCGTCACCGCCAGAGCAGCAGGCTGGGGGTCCCGGGCCGGCCGGTCTCCAGGGCAGCTCTGCCCCTCCCCTAGGACATGGCACTTGTCCCTGCCCCTCCCATCACTACAGCTGAGTCCTGCATCCCTGGGGGACCCCCATCCCATCCCAACCCCAGCAGACTGCGAGCGCTGGGAGGAGAGGGGCTGGCTCCAGCACAGACCCGCACACAGCAGCCCCAGGAGCCCAGCTCTGACTCGCCTGGGCTGGAGGCTGGGCCCCCAGCATCAGTGAGGCCACACAGGCTCCCCTTTCCCTCGGGAGAGAAGCGGTGTTCTGAGCCCAGAGGCCAGGGCAGACTGACCGGGAAACCCCGCGCCCTGTGCTCCTGCAGCAGGGCTGCTGGTCTGGTGGTGCGACAGCCCCAGCTCCCCTCCTGCCCCCGTGAGAGTCCTGCCTGACATCTGGGGCTGGTCTCAGAGTCAGCCAGCAGCTGGCGGCACCCCCAGCCCCATGACAGATGCCTACGAGGCCGCAGGTCAGCAGCCTGGCCCCCCAGACCCCAACCTCGGGCAGAGGGAGTCAGTCCCCAGCGTGCCTCCCCGGGAAGGGCCGAGCTCTGGAACCGCCGGCAGCCGTGCCCATTGCTGTGCGGGGCCTGCACTGGACTCAGTCCCCTAACACGGGACCACCTCCACCCCCGGCCTCTGGGGGCTCTGAGAGAGTGGGGCACAGGCAGGCACCTGGCAGTGCTCGGTGAGCGAGAGCGGGCACCTTCACCGTCAGGGAGGAGCGTGAGGTCAGGAGGCCTTTGCCACTGGCCTCCTGGAGTCCAGGGTCCCTTGGTCAGGTCCTCTGTCCTTGGAGACGGGACAGCCCACCGCCCTGGGCATCCTCCCTGAAGCAGGGTTCCTCGGCGAGTGGGAGGGAAACAGCGATGCACACTGGCCCGTCCGGCACCGGCCCCCTCCCTCGCACAGCCTCTCCCCGAGCATCAGGCGAAGCGGTGAGGCAGTGACACTCGTCTCGGGAGAAGCTGCTGTATAAACGTTACCCTGCCATTCGGGCTGCTGTGCACACCTGCTGCTGACACAACGGGAGTCAAACCTCCGTTTGCAGCAGGAGACCTGGAAACTCACAAACCACCCATCATGTTGCCAGCCAACACTACGGCTTTACAGGTTATGCTCCTGTGCCCGCGGACCAGAACCGCAAACACTGCTTTAATGGCTTTCCCGTTGACTCAGTGGCTTCAGGAATGTTGTCCGTTGACTCAATGGCTCCAAGAACTAAAACTATAATTAACTTGTAGCGATAACTAACTTTGCTCAGTTTGCTTCCGTACAACCTGCTTTCACAGGATCGCTCCACATTCCAACATCCAGCAGGACGTGGTTTTCGTCCTTATAAGTTCGGTACTGGAGTCACTCGGGGCTTCGAGATTTGGAGAGCTAATGCCCCCGCGCAGCCGCCGGCTTTTGAATAAAGACTCCTTAATTTGACTTTTTGGGGGTCCTTTGTGCAATTCTCGGGGTACATACAGCACCAGCCCTCAGGCGGTGAGGTTCTGGCAGCATCAAATGCTGAGGAACAAGGCCTCGGGTCTGCGGACCCTGGAGACAGAGTTTTGGTCAAACCAGAGATAACATCCAGGCCTGGGTGGCTCAGCTCCAGGCGGGGAAAGTGGCAAGGGCGGACAAAACAACAGTGCCTGCCGACAGGACCCGCTGCAGTGACCTGTGACCCCTGCCCTGGTGCTGACCAGTCAGCAGTGACCACAGCCCTGAGGGACACACCTGGAACGCTGCCGAATATCCTACTGAGGCCCTCCCCCAGGCTTCCCCTAGAAACCCTGCCTTTCCACAACAGAGTGAAACCTGTAAGACAGCCCTGGCCGGTGTGGCTCAGTGCACAGAGGGGAGGCCTGCGGACTGAAGGGTCCCGGGTTCGATTCCCGTCAAGGGCACGGACCTCGGTGGCAGGCTCCTCCCCAGCCTGGGCCCTGGACAGGGCATGTGCAGGAGGCAACCAACCGATGTGTTCACATCGCTGTTTCTCTCTGGCTTTCTCTCTCTCTCTCTCTCTCTCTCTCTCTTTCACTCTCTAAAATCAATGGGAAATATCCTAGGGTGAGGATTAAAAAAAACCTTTAAGACAAAGAACCCGGCACCCACCTCTCCCTCCGCCCTAAGGGGTGTGTCCTTGCGCCCTTTCTCCAGGGCCCTTCTCTGTAACACCGGCTGGCTCGCTTCTGGTGCCTCCCTGACTTGCTCTCTAAGGGCCAAGGCAGCCAAGACCAGGCTCATTCCTGCCACTGTGATCTTTCCTCCTCTTCTCAAGTCCCTCCTTCGCGCCGCGGTCCCGCTGTAATAAATGTACTCAGTCACCTGAACTCGCGTTGTGAAATCTTCCCTGTACAAAGTCAAGAACCAGGAGAGCACGCGGGTAACATCACCCCCAGCGGGGCTCCCAGGGCTCCGGGAACCGCTCTGCACCCCCAACCCCTCTGCCCGGCCCTGGGCCTGGCCCCTGGGAGCCCCGAGCCGTGCGTGCCCACGGACCTCCCCTCCCGCCCGAGCAGGGGCTGCACCGGCCGCGTGGCCACACAGGGCGGACACGGCTTGTCCAATGAAGAGTGGGCTGTGCTCGCCACCTTAGGGGAAGAGGAAGTGACAGGGCCAAGGTCACGGGGCTGGAGAAGGGGCAGTGGGCAGCCCGGGGGCACCTGGCTTCGCGGCCCTCTGCACCCCCTACCCCCTCCGCGGGGTGTGGGAAGGAGGCCCTCCAAGGTCAACACTGTCGCCATCCCTGCTCCATCCGGGCAGAGCCCCAGCTGCCTTACCTAAGGTCCCAGAGGTCTGAGTGCGGGGCTGGGGTTCAGACCCAGAGCGTCTGCCCGAGAGCCGGGCCAGCGCCGGGATACACCCTCCCTGCACCCCGGGGGCGGGGAACGGGGGGCGGGCTGGCTCTGGGAGGCTTCCAGAAGGAAAAGGCAAAGACGAGAGATAAGGCCAGGAGGAATCTGATATGAACGCTCCCCGGGCAGAGGCGGCCGCGCGGCCAGCTGCGCCGGCAAAGAGGCTTACAGACTCCGGAGGAGCTAAGCCAGGATCAGCGGCACCTGTGCGCCCGGCCAGGCCCGCTCCGCCGCGCCCGGGGCCCTCGGCATTGCCCAACCTGGGGCCTGGCACCAGCCAACACCGGGGAGCCCAGCCAAGTCCCTCCTCTGGGCCGGGCTGATGGCCCCCCCCCGCCCCGGGCTCCCGCGGCCTCTCCACAGGGTCCTGGACAGCGGGTGGGGCTGTGTCCAGCTCTGCGTCCCTGCCCCGGGCCCTGTCCTTGGTGCCCGCACCGCGGACCCTGTGTCCACTCCCGCTGCCGCCTCTCAAGCCTGTGGGTCACTTTTCCGTCTGATCTGGCAGGACCCCGCGGGTCCGAGGGGCCCTCAACTCCGTGGCCTGGGGTGTCCCCCTTGGCGGCCGGGAGCGGGGAACCCAGCGGGCCCGGCCGCCGCCGCCTTCGCCCTGCACCGCGGACCACACGGGGCCTGACCTTGGCCCAGCCGCTCCCCCTCGCGGGGCGCACGCGCTCTCCGCCCCCGCCCGCGCCCGGCGAATGAATGAGCCTCTGCCGCCGAAATGCCCGCGGTTACCGCCCGGACCAAAGTCCGCACGCGGCCCGCCCGGGGCAGCAACGGGCCCAGGTGCTGTGAAAAGGGGAAGGAGCGGGGGACAGGCTTCCGGTCAGGCAGGCTCCTCCGCGCGGCCCCCGCCCCCACCGGGGCCTCAACTTCCCTCCGGAGTCGCCACCACTTCCGGCCACCACTGGCCGGCAGGATTTTGGGGGGAGGGGGGGTGGCGGTGGCTGGGAGCCGGGACTGCGGCGACCCCACCCGGAGCCGAGCCCCAGGGCCAAGCCCCCGGCGCTGCGCACGCGCGCTCCTCCCGAGCGCGCGCCCGACCTGCACGGCCGCGCACGCGCACTCCCCGCCCCGCACGCGCTCCCCGGCGGGACCCCCCGCCCCGCCGGCCGCGCGCCCTCACGCCCCCCCAGCGGCGCGCACGCGCACTCACGCCCAGTCGCGCTCGCCGTCCGCCTTCCCGCCCGCCCCCCGTCCGCAGCCCGGCTCCGGAGGCGCGCCCCCCGGCCCTGGCCGCACGCCCCTCCGGCCCCCCGCACCCTCCCCTCACCTCCTCGGTCCCGGGGCCGCCGCGCCGCACTCCTCCTCCTCGCGCCTCCCTCACGGATGGTGGCAGCGGCGGCAGCGGCGACTCAGACCCTGGGGTCAGGGGGACGGGCGCCCAGGCCGGAAGTGACCTTCCTGGCCGCTTCCGCCCGCGCCGCTCCCCCCTCCCCCCAACCCCCTCTGGCCGCCACCCCGTTCTGGCCGCTCTAGGAAGGTGAGCCCGCGACCCCCTTGGCCGCCGCCCCCGCCCCCCGCCCCCCGGCTCGATGGTGCGGAGCCGGCGCTCAGGAAACCACTTCCGGGCACGTCTAGGACGCGGGTCCTCCGGCCGCGCTCTATGGCGCCGCGCGCGGAGGGGCTGCGGCCCCGCCCCCTCCCCCGAACGGAGGCGCGGGCTCGGCCCGTTAGGCGGAGACTTCCGGTGTCTGGGGAGGTGCCCCCCTCCCCCCGCACCCCGGGAGCCGGGCCCTGGCGCCTGCGCAGTGTGCTCCCCGAGCCGGGCCGCGGGCGGGAGGTGCGCGGCGAGTGGCCAGGGCCCCTCGCGCCGCCGGGTCCTCCAGGCGTCTCTATCGTCGTAACCCCTTCCCTGCCGACGCCCTCGCGGTGACCGGCGCCCGCGAGCTGCCGGGGACCGTCCCTTGCGACCCCGGTCCCTCCGGTACTGGACGGAGCGTGCGGCTGGCCTCGGCGCCGCCCGGGTCCACGTCCCCCTCTCGGCCTCAGTTTCCCCTTCTGGAGCGAAAACCCCGTTCCGAGCGCGTCTCCAAGGGCTTTGCCTGCAGAAGGTCCTAGTCCTGACCTCTAACGTGCGCCCACTTTGCAGATAAGGAGGGGGGCGCAGAGAGGTCACGGGCTCGCACCCCGGCACCTGGCCGCTGCCTCTCACATGTAACTGAGTCACAGCCGCCAGGACCCGCCTGCTGGCCTCCTGCAAGGTGGGCTGGTCTTGTGAGCATTCTCCTAGACCAGTGGTTCTCAACCTTCCTCACGCCGCGACCCTTCAATACGGTTCCTCATGTTGTGGGGACCCCCAGCCATAAAATTATTTTCGTGGCTACTTCATCACTGTCATGTTGCTGCTGTGATGAATCGTCATGTAAATATCTGATATGCAGGATGTATTTTCATGGTTACAAATTGCACATCATTAAAGCATAGTGATTCATCACAAAAACTACGTAATTATATATGTGTTTTCCGATGTTCTTAGGCGACCCCTGTGGAAGGGTCGTTGGACTCCCAAAGGGGTCGCGACCCACAGGTTGAGAACCGCTGCCTTGAGGACCTATAGGATGTGTGTTTATAAATCACAATTTGCCCCCTGCAGCCCCTCCCCTGCCCTGTCCTTGGCCAGATGATCTGTGATCATTTATAACCATCGCGTTGTCGCCATCACAGTCGCCAAGCCTGGGATGCAGTACCCGTCACACGAATAACACCTTCCCGGTGAAAATTGTGTCGATTGGTATTGCTCATTAGTATTGTTCCTACTCCCCTGGCCACGGTACACCCTAACTCCTCAGTCAGCATCAACCATAAGATGTGCGTTGTTGCGTTAATAGCATCTTCCGAGAGAGGAAAACACAGGCGCACACACAAGCAGGACTGCATTGCCCGGTCCGCGTGGCTCAGTGGTAGAGCATCAGCCTATGAACCGGGAGGTCAGGATTCGATTCCCGGTCAGGGCACATGCTGAAATCAATAAAAATACATTTAAAAAAAACCAACAGGACTGTAGGTGCATGGAATAGCAAGATATGTCTGCCTCGCCTTCAGAAAGGTAAATGTTGCAATGCCTCTTAGAACAGAGGGACAGGTACAGCCCTAGGCCCTGGCATCCAAGGATCTTGGGTTCGATTCCTGGCCAAGGGCATGCACCTGAGTTGCAGGTTGGATCCCCGGCCCTGGTTGGGGCACATGTGGGAGGCAACCAATTGATGTGTCTCTCCCACAGTGATGTTTCTCTGTCTCTCTCTCTGCCCTCCCCCCCCCCCCCCCACTGCACCTTCCACTCTCTCTAAAAAATCAATGGAAAAGCCGTAGCTGGTTTGGCTCAGTGGATAGAGCATCCGGGGCCTGCAGACTGAAGGGTCCCGGGTTCAATTCCGGTCAAGGGCACATGCCCGGATTGTGGGCTCAATCCTCAGTAGGGGGTGTGCAGGAGGCAGCCGATCCATGATTCTCTCTCATCATTGATGTTTCTAGCTCTCTCTCCCTCTCCCTTTTTCTCTGAAATCAATAAATACATATTTTTTTTAAAAAAATCAATGGAAAAAATATCCTTGAGGGAGGATTAACAACAACAAAATAATAATAATATCCACTCGAGTGTAGCCAGCTGGGCACTGCTGGTCTCTGCAGTCACGCTCTCCCATCGCGTCCTCGCAGGAACAGGTGCTGCACATGGTGATGCACGCGTGTGCACACGTACACACACACACACACACACACACACACGAGTACTCTTGCCTCAGCCGGCCCAGGCGGTGTAACAGCATCCCACTCACCCGGGGCTTATGAACCGCGGAGGTTTACTGCTCTCCGTTCTGGAGGCTGGAAGTCCTGGGTCAGGGTTCTGGCACCTGTGGGGGCCCCCTGCCTGGTTCGTGGCCGGCTTCTGGGGCAGGGGCCAGGGCTTCCCCTGGGGTGTTTTACAAGGACACCAGCCCATTCACAAAGGCTCCACCCTCAGGACCCGGCCACCTTCCCAGAGGCCCCATCACCTAACGCCATCACCTGGAGCATTAGGATTTCAACATGAATTTGAGGGGGGCAAAGGGGGAGCGGGACATGCCCTGGCTGGGTAGCTCCGTTGGTTAGAGCATCATCTTGATACACCAAGGTTGTGGGTTTGATTCCCGGTCAGGGCACATCCAAGAAGCAACCAATGAATGCATCAATAAGTGAAACAACAAATCAGTGTTTCTCTGTTTCTCTCTCTCTCTCTCTCTCTCTCTGAAATAAATAAATAGTCCTAGCCCATTTGGCTCAGTGGATAGAGCGTTGGCCTACAAACTAAAGGGTCCCAGGTTCAATTCCAGCCAAGGGCACATGCCGGGTTGCGGGCTCCATCCCCCGCAGTGTGGGGCGTGCAGGAGGCAGCCAATCAATGATTCTCATCATTGATGTTTCTATCTCTCTCCCTTCTCTGAAATCAACCAAAAAAATATATTAAAAAATAAAATAAATAAATAAATTTTAATGAATGTGGTGGGAACATAAACATTCAGATCAAAGCAACTCCCTTCGGAAAAAAGAAAACAAACTATTTTTTAAAATCCTCACCAGAGGATATGATTTTTTTTTTTTTTTTTTTTTTTTAGAGAGAGACAGGGGAAGAGAGAGAGAGAAACATGGATCGGTTGCCTCCCGTATGTGCCCTGGCTGGGGATTGAACCCACAACCTAATTATGTGCCCTTGACCGGGAATCAGACTTCCAACCCTTCCGTGCGCCAACGGACGCTCTAACCATTGAGCCCCACGGGCCAGGGGCCTAACCTTCTTTATGGGTGAAATATTAGAATGCTTTTCTAACGACATCTGTTAAAGAATAAAAATCCAAAAAAAAGGAATAAAAATCCCCCCCAAAAAAAATATAAAAATAAAAAAGACAATAAAAAAAGAATAAAAATCCCCAAATGGGACTTCACTATTGACTGCACGTTGTCCCCTAAAAAGCTCCTGACACCCAAGGAGAGGAGGGGATTACCCAAAACAAAGCAAAATGAAACAGACAAACAACAAAACCCTCACAGACCTCCTTAAGGACCAACGTAATCCGCTTTAACTTAATGTTAAAAATACATCATGACCCCATTCACCCAAGCCCGTGCACTCCAGGCGAAAGCCGCTTGGGGATCACAGACTGTTATGGGAACATTAACGAGCTCGTTAAGTGGTGTCTCCTGGAGCCAATAAACTGTACAACCTGCAGCCCTGCAGGCGGGCAGTCCGGCAACTGCTCTGGGAGCTATAGAAACTGCAGCCTGGATGCCTGGTGCCTGTGAGGGGCCTGGGACCTGGGAGCTATGAAAACTACAGCCTTACCCTAATCCAGTGGTTCTCAACCTTCTGGGCCTTTAATACAGATCCTCGTGTTGTGACCCAACCATAAAATTATTTTCGTTGCTACTTCATCACTGTCATGTTGCGACTGTTATGAACCGTCATGCAAATATCTGATATGCAGGATGGTCTTAGGCCATCCCTGTGAAAGGGTCATTCGACTGCCAAAGGGGTCGCGACCCACAGGTTGGGAACCGCTGCCCTAACCGGTGTGGCTCAGCGGATAGAGCATCAGCCTGCAGACTCAAGGGTCCCAGGTTCGATTCCGGTCAAGGGCATGTACCTTGGTTGCGGGCACATCCCCAGTAGGGAGTGTGCAGGAGGCAGCTGATCGATGTTTCTAACTCTCTTTCCCAGGGGTCCTCAAACTTTTTAAACGGGGGCCAGTTCACTGTCCCTCAGACCGTTGGAGGGCCGGACTATAGTTTAAAAAAAAAACTATGAACAAATTCCTATGCACACTGCACAGATCTTATTTTGAAGTAAAAAAGCGAAACGGGAACAAATACAATATTTGTATTTGCATGTGGCCCGCGGGCCGTAGTTTGAGGACCCCTGCTCTATCCCTTTCCCTTCCTCTCTGTAAAAAAATCAATAAAAAAATATATTAAAAAAATATTTTTAAAAAATCTGCAGCCTGGATGCCTGG